CCAAAATAGATTTTCACATATGAACTTTATTAGGTCCAATAAATCTGTTGGACATACTTGAATGACCAAGGTTAATGTTAAATCGATTTATAAACGTAACCACTTGAAATGTCTTTTCAAGTAAACTATGCATTAATTCAATTTAATACATAAATATTCTAATAATGGTGATAAATGAAATAAAAACAAGATTGTTGCATATCCAATACAAAGTATTATTCCAGCTTCTTTCGATCTAGCCCTTTCGTAACACTACATTCATGAAATAGCAACTACTTATTATATAAAGCATAATCTATTTCTGACAACAAGAGATGATTATATAGAGTATACGAGTATGTGGAAAAAAATGCTGTGCGGATAATTTTCCACGAAATAAATGTTATTGCAGCAGCAGATTTCAAACAAAACATAAACAATCCTCTGCTTATTTCAATTAAAAATTTTTTGGACAGTATCCACTGGAATCGTTCAAATATATTCAATACAAAAAACACTGCTGACGAGAAAAATTATAAAACTAAAAGACAATTTTAGATTGAAGAGTTTTCGATCTTGCTACATAAATAATAAATAACGATATAAAAAATTGATCGAAAATGTAAATATAAGAGAAAATGTTTACAAGCCAGTTTATTCGTTGAAGTGATGAACTTTCAATAAAATTGAAGACGCAGTCAGATTTATCAGACGAACCGAGGGGCCACCTTCTTTAGATAACAAGTAGACGAACGAATCTTAAAAGCTTGTAGGTTTCTACAATTTGCCATCCCTGCTTTTGCCTCATCTCCATCTACATCTTTCTGTGTTATCTTTTATTGTTCAGTTACACTTTTAATTGAATGCGCTCGCGCCATCGCGATACACACACACACACACACACAACCTTTGCTGATGGTGTTGTTAATGATGGAGATGATGATGTTGTTCATGCTGCAGATCGTGCTGGATGATGGACATAGAGTAGAGTCAAGTGAGAGTGATTCGTGGCCTGGAAGCTTGCGGTTGATTGTGGCGTGTGCTGGGCTGGTTCATTAGTTGCGTTTTTCCATTGTCTTGGCGACACAAACAAAGCCGAAACAGCGCCCAGAAGCGCGAGCGTGCGTGCTCAGTGCCAAATAGATGTACATATATACACATAAACCTATATATACACTTTCTAATATTTATAGGAGCCCCGAACTGAGCAAAAGCCAAAGCCAAAGCCAACGTCAACGTCAAAGCCTCAGCCATGACCGATGCGCATTGGCGCGAATGCAAGCGTCGTCGGCAACCACGTTTGTCATGGGAAGGTGAAGGGTGGACAGGTGGTGGCGATAGTCTTGCCGCTGTCGCAATGCTCGCCATTCGATTTCGACTTGTAGCTAAATTAATATTTCGGGCAGGCTTACACGATTCATTAGGCAGACACAGAAAGGCAGACAGATACAAGTAGCAGATACAAGGGGCGGGCCAGCGGGTGTGAGGCCGGTCATCTGTTTTGGGGCGGGTAGCGCAGTGAAGGCTGAAGGTCTTTGCCATACGGGGCTGCAGTTTCCCATTACCTAATACACAGGCACATTTAAATAGCGTGGGTAGACTTTAAAGTTGTTGTACAGGCAATGAATATACTAACAAACGCAAAAAAGGGTTTAATTATTTATGTGTGGATTTAGAAAATGATATTAATATCTTGAATTGAACGAAGCATGCTTTTTATTGAAACTGAAGAACGTGAAGATTGTGAAGATTATTAGTCGATAGCTTGTACGTTATAGGAGCCTAAAGAGCTGTTACTGCGTTCTTTTTTTTTTTATCGGCAGAAGGCATAATATAACAATTTAGCGATAAATTAGGCGGTTATAAACAAAAGCCTATGAATACGTCTGGATCGTTTGAACAAAGCCTCAATACTGGAAGAGCTTTTATAATGGTTTCTTTATTGTTTTTTTCTTTCTTTAAAACAAAACTCAAAAGAAATAACTAGCTTACAGAATAGTTATTTCTTTTGAGTTTTGTTGACTGCTGTAAACCTTCCCGAAGAAACTATCAATTGTCAGATCTATACAAAATTTAAAATCCATCTGTTTTACATACTCTATAACTGTATACAGAATTTCAACAAAGAAACATTCATACGAAGGACGATAGCTCTCTCTCTCTCTCTCTCTCTCTCTCTCTCTCTCTCTCTCTCTCTCTCTCTCTCTCTCTTGTTGGCAGATTATCAAAACTTTCGAGTTGCCCCATGCACTCACCTCTACATAGACACATAGGTTGTGTATTTACAAATTGAGTTCAGCCCGTAAGGTCAAGCCCGTAAGCAAACACGATAATAGTCGTATGTTGGGCTATTGCTGTAATTGTTGTTGCTACTTTTGTTTTTAAGCAACTTTTAAGCTTTCTTGACCTGTTAGTCAGTCAAGAGTTTATTTGTTAGTTTGTCTGCTTGTAACTACAAACATGGAAATTAAAGTTTATACTCGTATTGTCTTTTGTCACTTTTTTAACGTATGAAAGCATACATTGTTGTTGTTGTCGCTGCTGTTGATGTTTGTTTATTGTTTCATAACACAACTCTCGCGGAGATGGGCAAATGGGTTTGTGTACCTTGTGCCTAATGCGTTAATATCATCATGCGCGCTTTAACTTGCCAAGGGTTGTGTATGTACATATGTTTGTTTGTATGTACATACTATACTATATAAGACGTTTGCTGCATAGTGGACACAGTGTTGTTATTGCTTTTGTTTTTTTTTTTATTTTTTTATTATTTTAACGACGTTGACGACGTTGGCGACGACGTAAAAGTTTCAATGAAAAGTCAAAACAGGCCTCAGGTCCGGATATAAATGGTTTGTCTTAAAAACGCGCATTCACACACTCGCACTCACACACATGCATAAGCACATATGTATGTGCATGAGTGTGTGTTTGTGTGTGTGTGTGTGTGTGTGTGTTTGTGTGTGTGTCGGTGTGGTGGCAGCCTCGCTTAACGCTTGGCTCTAAACTCAGTCAGCCATTACGAAGCCCATTTTGTTAGTAGCTCGCCGCAACGACTAACTACTACAATTTACAGTCAGCCATAATGTACAGCACATGCACAAAGCACACACACACACACACACACACACACACACACACAGAGACACCATCACACACACATGCCCCACACCCCCGCGTCAACGCTCGCCGCACGCCAACGCCGCCCTTCAGCGCACTGTCGTCGCAGTCGTGAGTCACCTGAGCGTAACGTAAGCGCAGCTTATTGTTGTACTTGTATATACTATACTCGTACATTATTTTTTTTAATTCTTTTTATTTTTGTTTTTTTGGCACAATCAACTTCACGTCGCCTGCGTCCTCTCTCACTCGCTTGTGAGCTCTTTTTCACGAAACGCACGGCACGACACGACAGTGCAGTGCAAGCTGCTGCATTCAGTCCGAGCTCAGTTTATTCACTCAAAATTTCTTGCGCTCCTACACTCGGCGAGCGTGTGTGCGTGAGTACCGTTGCTGTTCGTAGATTTATATATTTTTGGGATTTTTCGCAGTTACCTAATTCAACAGTGGGCGTGATGTCTTTATTCCAAATTACTCGCAATCATAAATTTATAGTTATTAATTAGTGGTCTACATTATTTATAAGCACATACTTGTGTACTAGCATCATTTTATTTATTTATTTTTTTTGTAAATATACGTTTATGTCATTCCATTTACCCTATACCAAAAGGTTCGATGGGTTCAATGGGTGCCAATGATTGTAAAAATATAATTTTTCTTGATCAGCATGACAAAACGAATCGATCTAGACGAGCTGGCGAAGCAGTTGCTTACATCAGTTTATTACTTTCTTTAAATACATGGTATTTCATGGTCTATTTTTTAGTACAAACTGTAAAAGCTGCTTAACTATATATATGAGCTGATACGAACTAATCAGCACACATAATCTTTTACAAATACCGCATCATAAATGGGTTGGCTCAAGCCAGACAAAGCCAACACTGTTATCAAAAGTTCTAAATGTAAACAAAAGAATATATAAAACGCTCTCAAATGTTTAATGGCCTTATATTTTGTTGATAGCATTCCATCAGTTGGCATCTGAATTGTAAATGGATTGGGACTGCTAATTGGTCAATACTTTAATAAACTAAGATTGAGTTGAGACTTCCTCTGAATTCTTAGTAAATAAAAACTGGAAAGATAAAGCCTGCTAATCTGTAATTAGGTTACACAAATGTAGGCCTATGTTAATACCTAATATGCTTAAAAACTGTATTGTTATTCAGTCTTATTTATTCAATAGGCTTGTTCATGATTAAACTAAAATAAATCAATAAATTAGCTATAACGTTTCAATGAGGCTATGGTTAGGTTAAGGTATTGAAAAATCTAATTAATTTCGACAATACACTTAGAAACTATCAAAGTATTTATAATTTTATAAACAAAAAATCCGATTAGTTACAGGGGCTTTACTTGTAGCTCAAATGCGTTCGTTAATTATAAGCTTTTAGGCAGATCACGATCTAGTCCCACTGTACCGCAGTAACGAATACGTCAAGCAGCTTTTATGTGCTCCATGTATAAATGCAGGTATGTATGTGTGAGTGTTTGTGTTTTTTAACCAAACTGCAAGTGCTCGAATCCTCACTAGCTAGCTGTTAATTGTTATTTGGTCAGCAGCATGAGTGAGGCGCTCAACTTTAGAGCTAACTTCCAGCTGCGATTCGTTTGTCGATCGTAATTGAAAAGAATAGCTTAACAAAAGGCGCATACAAGTATTAAAAACAACATTAATAACAAACAAAAATAGAAGCAGCACCAGCAGCAGCAGCAGCAGCAATTCATAACTGGCACAACAGCTTGTGCCTATTGGCAACACATACACGCACACACAGCACCACACACATGCACACAACTTCTGCTGCTACCTCGAACTGGCGACGAGACGGCTCTCGAGCTCGCACAGCTCGGTGGGCCAATTTAGTCTCTCTCCAAGTTTCGTCGGGGCAGGCCGTTCTCGTTGCCGTTGCCGTTGCCGTAGTAGTCCGTCATTAGTCGCAGTCAACGCTTATTTCGTAGTTGTCGTTGCGAACGTCAGAGCCACAACTACAACGATCGTGCGTTTATTGTTAACTTGTCTCACTTTGTGAGTGATTGTTGTTGCTGATATTTATTTTGGCAACTTCACATATATCTATATAGTGTGTGTGTGTGTGTGAGTTTCTGTCTGCGGAGTGTGCAAAAATACACCAAGCAAACCAGCTAAAATATTGGAAAATTTTTAAATTAACAACAAAAATATTCAGCGCAAATTAATTTGCAAACAAATGTGTCTGCCTCATGTGTGTGTGTGTGTGTGTGTGTGTTAATGTGCGATTTATCAAAAAACATGCCATGTTTTCGATTTACAAACATACGCAACATGCACAACTGAGCGGATGGATGACCAAAAGAAAAAAACTCACGATTGGTCGCACATTGCGCATGTGCGTTGACGTGTTGTTGCTATTGTTATTGCCGCTGCTGCCGTTCGAGGCAGGGCCGGTTTATTAATTTACTGTCGCCCCCCAAATGCCACACGAATGAAACAAAACGGAAACCATAATACAAAACAAAAAAAAAAAAACCCATACAACACAATTTTTTCGATGTAAAAAATAAATATAATTAAAGAGAAAATCGCCTTTCTCCGCGTATCACAAAAACAATAGCCATTGAGCGATGTCCGTAGCTGCGGCAGCAACGGCGACTCAGGCAGCAGCAGTAGTTCAGCCACTGCCCCGTTACGTTTCGGCAAACACACAATAGTAAAATAAGAGGCTCACACACACAATCGCAATGGTGTACAATCGCTCTGTGTGTGTGTGTGTGTGTGTGTGAGGTGCGCGTCTCTACTGGAAATTTCTTTAATTGAAACTAAAGCAAGTGCCACTCAGCTCAGCTCAGCTCGCAGTATCTGTTTACTCTCTGCAAAATGCTCGAACATTGTCGGTGATACTCGAGAATAGCGCCCAATTCTCAAACTCAGCTCTCATCCACCCCCTAAACGTGCTAAAGCTATGTAACAAGCAGCAAGATCAGCAGAACCAAATGATTATATAGTGTTCTAGTTCTAGAATGAACCATCATGATGATTGGTACATGCAAGTGGTTTAGTCCATCGGCCCGACAAGCCATGAAAAGTAAATCTAAAGCAGTTTTGTTAAATACTTTATGTACTCTTCTTCATTAAAATAAATGTTATAATACACTTCCGAGCTTCTGCTTTCATTACTTATATAAAAGCTACCTATCATGTATACCTGACACAGAACCATCCAGTTAATATTGAATCTTTAATAATAATCTTTAAGAATATTAAATAATTTATATTTAAAAGCATAGATATCCTAGCTACATCTCAAGACAATTCTTAGTAGGAAAAACCGTATTCTCCTCAAAGCTTTTCAAACTATAAGGCTAAATATGTAATGCACATAATATAACTTATCTATTATAAAATACTTGATCAGTATAATGTCTACAGCCTCAATGTATATGACATAGAATGAAAACTAGCTCGAGGATGTTTTATGAAATCCATTTCATATGATATGGGTTATTATTTTGGAGCTATTACAAAATTGCTTTCAGAATTGTGAATTCTATCAAGTTTCCCAAATTTACAGCTGGTATTTCCATTATTAATTTAATACCAGCCCTACCTACATATACCTACATATATAGAAAGTCAACATACATTTTAAAACGTGTATGTTATTATCGACATATTATACATTTTTTATTGAAATGTTAGGCCTTTTGACTAATACTTGAAAAACTTTCAAAATTCACCTCATTCTTAACAATTCCAATTGGGAAACGAACACATTTGCAGGAAATGCATTATAGCTTCATATATGCACATGCTCGGATGTACGTCTACTTAAAATATTTAACTCTAAAAATATAGGCAGGCCAGCAAATTCTGTAACTTTCAACATAAAATCCGTTAATTTGCATTACGTTGACGTTTAGGTTGCTGGCGGCGCAGTCGCAACGTTTGCGCCTCTCTTGTGTAACTTCTGCTTGCCACTGCTGCCTGCCCGATAGCTGTGCAGCGTCGCCGCAGTCGTCGGAGTTGGCGAGTCGAGCGACGTTGCATATTGTATTTCCACTTCCTCTTCCGCTCATTTGAAGCCGCTAACATTGTTCATGTATGTGTGTGTGTATGTGACGCAGGCGCTCTTGGCGTTGTGCTGCAGCGCTTTTTCATGCAGCACCTACCTCATTTGAACAAGCGCCACAACAATAAAGAGAGTGTAAGAGAGTGAGCGAGAGCGCGAGTGAGAGCGCAGCTTTGTTGCTATTTGTTTGTGTATTACGTGCGCCGTTACTAATGACGAAAGTGAATAATAAAAAAGCGCCAAGCACGGGTCTATTGTGAATCGCCTCAGGTGTATGTGTGTGTGTGTGTGTGTGTACATACATGCATGCATATGTAAGACGATAGAGCATGCACACATGCATGTGTGTGTGTGTGTGTGTGTGTCTGTGAATGTACACATGTACATATGTGCGTAGTATGTGTGCAAATTGCGCTCGAATGCAATTGTATGCGGTGTACAACAAATAATTATAAATTAAATAATTATACAACACAAGCAAAAACAAAAACCACTTGGCGCTGATTGCGGCGGCCGCTGTGGCTGCTCGTGCAGTGGAACACCTGTAAAACAAAAGCAGCCAAGTTATCTGCAGCAGCAGTAACAACAGCAACAATAACAACAACAATAACAACAGCATTCACAACGCTACAGCAAGCAACTTGTCGTGCGCACTGGCGGATGCAGTTGCGCCCCCCTCCACCTGCCCCTTAATCCCACTCAGCTGCACGTTCAACCCAACAACTACACATACATACATACATACATACATACATAGCAACAATATACATACATATGTACGTAGCATGTACCTACAAAAATATACATATTTACAATCGAAAAAGAAGTGTTGGAAAAATGGAAATTTTTGCTAAAACCCACAAATTGCAAATCTAAACAAGAAAATACGTTTTGAAACAAATCAGAACAGCAAAAACAAAACTCGCTCAGCACAAATTGCAATTATTTCCAAGAATTTTTGCACGGCAACAACAACCACAACAACAACAGCAACGAAATTGAAACAAGTTAGAACGCTTTTAGCAGTTTTTGCTGCTTGTCCATTTGTTTGCACTACCTGCCAGTGTTTTTTATTTGTTATGCCGCGGCCCCAACTAGTCACACAATAACAACGACTACAGATAGAACTTAGACAACTAATAGCACTAAATAAAAATCGAAAATGTGTGTATGCACAGTCGTGATCAACACCAAACAGTGAGTGGGTTTTCGGCAGCCATCACATGCCTCAGTCATTCCCACAACTCACAACAATCTCAGAACTTCCATTAGAATCGATGCTGACAAACAGCGCGCGGCATTTGTTGTTATGTCTACATAATATCTACAGTGAACACTCTGCATGTTGACAAATTGAGTATCAAGGTGGCAACATTTTCTACTTTAATAAAGTACGAATATGCAAAATTTAAGCCACAATTTCAGTGTTTTGCTCAACCATTTTAGACTTGATGCTAATTTGCAAAAGGGAGCAATTAAAATAAACTCGTTTATTGAGTTGGCTAGTTAGCTAGTTTATCTTTCTACCCTGAACTTTGGTATTAAATATTCATTTGTATGAATAATGCATTTAATGAACTGTAGAAAAAGCATTAACATTTACAGTTATTTAAAAAATAAACTAAAATAGCAACAACATATTGCTAGTGATTCTTCTTCTTCAATTTAGCTGGGGCAGACAATTTATTGGACCAGTAAATATAAAAATTATAAATAATCCTCTTTTTAATGCTTCTAACTGATTCATCAAATATGTGAAGCGTCTAGTTTCCTACCTTCTCTAATGTTACCCAAAAATTTCACAGATCACAGGCTATATTTGCCTTTATACTCCTCAATTTCTCATTTTAATACGTATTCGCTCTACAAATGTTCCCACTGTGCCTACACACTGACACATCTATGTAGTAGGCGAACTGCCGCCAACTTGTTTCTGGCCCTGGCCAATTCTGTGACTCCGAACTACGCTGACGTACATATGTACAAACATATGTGCGTTTGTATGTAGGAATGTATGCACATTGTTGTCTGTTTTCATTCCAAGGCTGTGCTCAAGATTATCGAGCAGGCGAAATTCATTTGTTTAAACAGCTTTATCATGCACGCTTGTACTCGCACTTGAAAATGCTGAAAAGAACACACATAATTGTTTCATCATCAGTGGCAAATGTCGCAATTGTGTTCAAAATTATTCGTCTGCCAATGTTTTTGAATAAAGCTATAAGCGATTAATTTCAACATCTTGACGCTAAAAAGACACTCGAGATGACTTGACGTCGTCCCAAAGGTTCTTGAACTCTGCGCAGGCGTAAGTGGCCGCAGTTGTGGCAAAGATTTATGAAAGAAAGTGTGGGGGCAATTTGTAAGAATATTCATAAAAAACACACATACGAATATATATGTGAGTTGTTTGTGGAAAGATTTGCATTTATTACAAGAAGGTTTATTGTTTTACCCGAGTTATTTCCCTTTCTATTTTGATAGTGTTTCCAGATTAGAAATTCTCACGCATTGCAAATAAATTTTTGTTTCTTAGCCTAGCCGTCACTTGTCACATTTCCATATGATTTATGAACAATTTCACGTGATTAAAGAAGAAGAGAACAGAGTAAAGTGGAACAGCAGACGACACCTGCCCTACAATGTAGATCAGACCAGACATACATACATACGAGTATATATAGTACATATAGGCTTGTCAGTTTATCAGACTTTTGGACGCCTGCCAGTCTGTAACACTTTCCCAGCAATGCTCCACCCACTGTTGCAATTCTTGTTGCTTTTTTATTGGCTTTTTGCCCACTAAGCCAAGCTCAGCACGTACTCGAAGATACATTGTTTTTATTTTTCACAATCAAAAAGTCACTTCCCCCCCTCCCTCTCTCTCTCTCTCTTTCTCTCTGCTGACCAAATCGGAATGAGTCGATTGGCTCGTGTCGCACATATTTAATTCGTATATTTGTATAGCTTTCGTGTTACTTTTCGCTAAATCTCACAGTGGTTCAATACACAAAAAAACAAATTACAAAACAGGAAACGTAATCCTTATAAATCGTAGTTGCAAGCTCCACCTATATCTGAGACATACTCATTTGTTCGATTTGCTAGGTTCCTGTCAAACAATATCTCAAAAACTATTCGTTTTTTTTCTAGGTCGTGCCAATTATATCTTTAGTTTAGTGCTTGACATGAATATAGACCCACACTGTTGCCGAGATAATGAAAACTTAAAAGTTGATTTTGTGGCTGAAATAATTGCATGTCAACTGACAAAGCAGGTCTAGCATGATTTTGAAAAATGGCGCTTCATATTTTGACATTGGATATAAACTAATGCCTTGAAGATTAGCATAATAATAGAAGATATGCATTATATCTTCATTAAAATCAAGTGACACCTAAATTGCAGTACTTTTCCGCAAATTACGTTGTCTTTAATATGAATTATGAATCTACACAAAGCTATTAGAGCCTATCACAAAAATAATTTTCTTAAAAAACAAGAAGAAACAAGTACGATTAAGGACGATTTTCAATCGACTGATGCATTCTTTTCAATCAGTTTCATTTTATTAGGTGCAAAATTAACTTGAATTTCAATCGACTGATGCATTCTTTTCAATCAGTTTCATTTTATTAGGTTCAAAATTAACTTGAATATTAGTTGTGCCGAATAAATTCAACATGCATTTGAGACCAATGTGCGTCTGTTGCTTTGACTTTATTTATTTTCTAGTTGCTGTCGTCAGTCAACTCTTACTTGGCAGCGATCGCTGACCTAAAAAAGCTGATTGAATATATGAATGTACATACATACAGATTTGCGACACATTGCGCATTGCGTCTGTTTATGTATTGTTGATGTTGTTGTTATTGTTGCTGTTGTTATGATTGTTATTGTTATTATTGTTGTTATGTGCGGAGCACATTCGTTGGCAGTATGAAAAAAAAAAAACACATTTCGCGACTGACACGCTCCCACTCGGTTTATTAGCGTCTCTCTTGTCACTGTCTCCCCAACCAGCTGCCTCTCTCCCTCCTCCTCCTCCTTCTCCTCCCAATCCCCAGCACGGCCTGGTGCTCCTCCAGCGTTCGCTCTGAGCTTTGGACATCATCAGCGCCGCACGCAAAGCGCAAAGCGTTCGACGTTGACATTTTGGTGCAAATTGCTCGAAAAACATTTTATAAAACAAAACAAAAAGCAAGACAATATTTTTTATTACACCAGTTTTGTGAATGTTGTTGTTGTTGTTGTATGCATGAGTTGTGGTTCAAATGAGCATATATGTGCGTATGTGTGTGTGTGTGTGTGTGGAATTGAAGGGCACACACAATTAAATGCGGGCCAGTCATCAAACAGCCATCCAAGTCAACTCGTTGTACAGAGTCCACAAACTTGTCGTTGCCATATTGATAGACACAGCCAACGGGGCGTATGAATGTGGCAAGAATGTCACTCTATATACTACCTGCACATTTATATTAATATAGCATGTATAAGTATGTAGAGCATACGATCTTATCATCGAATAAATACGATATCTTTCCAATAGCGCATTGAAGCATAATAACGAAAGAAAAGAAAACAATCAAAATGTAAACACCTCAGCAAGTAGAAACAATTCGTCAAACTAAACCAAAGATAACCGAGCAAAGAAATCAACTGATTAATCAGAAATATATGCGAGTATAACTAAAACGAAAGCAAAAATCAATCAATTATTAAAAAATGAAATAACAAAACAAATCAATTTGCAAATGAATAAACGAAAGCAAACTGACATCAAGAAAGAGGCACAAACAATACGAGAAACAAAACGAAAAACAAACAAGAAGGCGTAGCACAAAGCACACACAGTGGACAAGTTCCGAATTATTTATTCTATTGTGTGGCGGGCCCGTGAGTAAAGGCGAAAGTGCCGCCCACGAGCTTGCATCGAATGAACACCAATAATAAGAACACCAACAACAATCGTCATGTCCAAGACCAGTTTGTGTGACAACAAGCAGCGCAATAAGCTGTCCACAACGGATCGTGGCAGCGGCTCCAGCTCCTCCGAATCCTTCCTGCAGTACGACAGCGAAAAGCCGCCGCCCATTGTTGTTGTTGTGGGCGACGGACGCAGTCGCGTGCGTCGTGTGGTGCGCACAGCAACGAGGCACGTGACCGTCGTCAGTCTCTCCACGCGCCACAAGGAGACCCAGACGCATACGTCGCACCATGTGACGGCCGTCAGGTAAGCGATTGCCAAAGTCAATGTATGGCCACTGCCAAGGCCCGGGCGGTCAAGCGGAAAGAACCACTCGCTCGCCTTATCGGTAGATATTGTGGCTATCAAAAGGCACTTTATGATCGTCATTGTTCATTTACGAGTATTGTTGTTGGTCTCTCTATGGTAGCTAGGAGTATTGAGCTATTGATAAATTCTTTAATGCTTAAGAACATTTAAAGTACTTCCAGAAAATACTTTCATGCATATACATATTTGAACAAATCATTTACTTCAACTAAATGGAGCTCAACAAGAAATTCGTCATAGGAAACGCACAGTCATTTGTTTTCAATCTTTAGTGCACATTAATAATGAGTTTCCTCTTTTATAAAATTCCGCAAAACCAAATCATTTTCATATTTCTCTTATTATTATATTTAAGCAGGCGTTCATACTTGTAGTTGTCCATATTGCAATTTAAACAAAAATCAATTCAATTCAAACAAAAAACACAATAAGACTATAAAGGAATACAAAATTTTCCATTTTGTGAAATGCATGGAACAGTCCAAAAGTTCAAGACTCTCACCAAAAAAAAGCATACCTTCAAATCACTCAAACATTTACCTCTAGTCGTGATCAATAATATGAAGTGCATCTTTTTCAACTTTGCTTTTCCAAATAGTGCATATATGCCTTTAAAGGGTTTCCTCTACTTTGATTATTTGGTAATTGAGCTGAGCTGACTCATTCAACCACTATTTACGCCCAAATTTCCATTGACATACAAAATAGTGGGAAATTTATCTTACAATTTAATGTTGCATACATTTAACAGAAAAGCATAGCATGCTTATAGGCTGCGAATAAAAATGAACTGAAATTAATAAAAATAAAAAACCCGCTAATTCTCAATCTCTTTATTCCCTTTCACCGCAAAGAAGCAGGCGATATAGCTATTTCCCTCTATCTGTGATCTCTAGGGCGCTTCAGCTTTGCCAAATGGTTTTTAGTTCTCGCAAGCAGATCATTTCTCGAAAGCAGCTATATCAGTCCAATTATTCCACCGATTTTCCTTGTTTCCAAAACTATAGCAAGAAGAGGTAAAGTTGTCTTTGTGTTACAACATATTCCAGAAATAATTCAGAAACCCTATTAGTAACATCAGGTTCGAAATGATATTGGATATGAACTTGATATTGAAAATGATGTTGGAAAGTTCATTATCTGATATGTGCTTGGACTTTGAAATAAAGCAACGAAATGTGTATTTGTCTATTTTTTTCTCAGCGACCGTTTGCTTTGAGAGCCTTTACATTTCGGGTAGATAGATCGGTTTATTTTTGTATATTTCCCAGCAATCCTTTGTCTCCTTCATGTCGGCAAACCCCTTTCTTGTAACTAATTAAATGCTATTTAAATTATAATGCTGCTTCTGCTGCCCTGCCTATCCCCGATTTACCCAAATCCATAAATTCGAAATTCATAATAAGTCGCTGTTCATTCTGCCATGTCGTGGGCGCCTGTTATTTCAAGCTCATCATAAGAGCCAAATGCACAATAAGACTAACCAAAGAAAAAAAAAAAAAACTAATGTAAAATCAATAATAATTAGGCTTTGAAAGCGGCCGCGGTGTCTGCTTGGACGGCATCAGGTCACGCGAACCGCCGCGCCGTTTGGTTGCCACACTTGTTGCATGTAAAGTAGGCAGACGTCCGAGGAAGTCGCATAGCTTGGCTCGCGAACGAAAGCGAGGGACGCATCGGGGTGGCCAGAGTGACGTTAATATGTCCACACAAGGCGCGAGCCCACGAGCCCAGATACGAGGCGAGTGCATCTGTATCTGTATCTGCTCGATACGAGTAGGGCTGCGGGTATCGTATGATACGGCAAGTCAACAAACAGTTGTGCACATGTGCAACGGCACACAATTAGAGCGCTGCTCGGACGGGCGACGTGTGGCAGATGTTTTTTTTTTCACTGCCTGAAACACTTTGTTGTTTTCGATTTTAAAAAGCAGGACTTGCATTCTCAGTTGAATAACTGAGCGAGCACTTAAATCATTTTGTGGGAGCGGGACGGGTGCGGACAGTGAAGAGTGCGGCAAGGTGCTAGCTCTTGGCAACAATAACATGCTTTGCCAGGCAACTACCTGCTGCTGCTGCTGTTGCTGTTGCTGCCCCTGTCCTTGTGCTGAACAAAACAACGCCAGGTGCAGTTGAGCCTTGCAAATACAGAAAAGCAGACAAAAAGAACGAAGAGTCCCGAACTAAGCTCCCTGCTCACATCAACTGGCAAGGATGGCTTCGCAAGATCGCATTGTGCGTGCCTTTCCTCCAGTTATCCTTCGTTGCTGAATCCTGTTTCTATCTTCACCTCAATTCTATACCAATTCTGTACCTACGTATATATAAGTAGTAAGTATGTATCTGTAGGTGCAAAATGCAGCTGGCCATGGCTCTCAAAAAGTGAATGTTAATGGATTGTTGTTGCGATTGAGCCATGACTGGAACTTATTCGGTTAAAGGACATTGTCATGGCTTAGTTGCGCTGTTGGGCAATAATTTGAAAAGGTTGCCATAACAAACTGAGGCTGGGGCTGTGAGAATACTTTTAATTCGGTAGCTCTAATTGTAAAGAAGAAGCTTCCTTTAGTTCAGTCAACAACGTTGGAGGTTTTAAAATTCGATCATTATTATCAACATCATCAGATCACATATTTAATACTTCGCAGCCCTTTTCCACATTATTTCACTTGGTACTTGGTACATAAGTTATCAATAGTGTGCCTATTTGATAATTTAAATAGTCTGTATTTTAGCCCTCATTACTAAATATTGGATCGTCAATTGAAACAACATTCGTTTGAACTCAATTCGGCCAGCTTAAAATAAACAATGAAAGTTCATTTGTCTTTTATTTATAACTTAATTAGATTATATAAGATTTTGATTATGTTTTGACAAGTTTTAACTGGAAAATGAAACCATTAAGGCCAGCAAGTATTGCTCTTCTCCGATTGCTAAGCTTATTTCAGTTGCATATTTAACTTCCTACTTAACTAGTGACTTGAATTTGAATATTTTTGCTTGGCTTCTGATTGAAATGAACTGTGTTTGGTTTATTCCTTGGAGTTTCCCACAAGCATATTTATTCTCTGGATTAATCTGATAATAATCGCTCAGTCTAGACTTCTGAAGCTAGGATCAGACAGAAATCTAATTGGCAGAACTGCAACCACTCCCTTTTGATTGCAACTTGGTTCAAGATTTTGATCATTGTTTCTTGAGATGTCTATCAAGCGAAATCACAAGATTGTTCCAGAACTGTCCAGCTAATTGAATTATAGCCATACGAGTATGTATATGACTGGCAACTTCAGCATACGAGAGCCTCTTCTCTCTTACACCTTGCAAGCATATCTCTTAGTTTTTTGTCATTTTGGAACCCATGTTTGTCATCGTCGGCTAATCACTTCCTTTGCTCTTGCCACGCCACATGGCACTCCTAGCTATGTACAAGTATAGTGTATCGCCGATGTGCCCCATAATGGCATCCTTTTACACTCGTCATGTATTCATTTTTTTCATATTGTCTGCGGCCCTCTAAGGGTAGCAATTGTCCTCTTTCGAAATGTGCTTGTGTTGGTAATCCGAGGCAAACAAAACAGATGCATTTTATGTTACAGTGTGCGTGGGCTGAGGTGTGTGTGTGTGTGTATCTGTGTGTGTGTGTAGGCAGCATACACACACGCACATACATAATAATAAGCCATGCGAAACACGTTTTTGAACGCCGACGCAGTGGCAGTCGCCGCAGTTCGGTCGTTGTTGCTGCCTTTTGGAACTTCCTATAGCCAAGAGCCGAGACCACGATCGGCCGAACATTTTGGGCCTCCGAGGCCGAGCACTCGGTTTAGTTCAAACGCGAACGTCGCGTCGCCACGACGTGCTTTTTAACTACCCAGTGTGCTTCCCCTTCAGCGGCTTCCTCCGATCAATTTGAATATGCGAATGCGCGCGTTGTATATTAATTAACATTTTGAACGATTCGACCGACAATCGCAGCTTGTTGTGATATTCTGTTAATAACTGTGTGTGTTATTTCGTTTCTGATTAAATCAAAACGGTTCGCAATCTAATGCACACACTTCTGGCACTTTTGTGAGAGAATCAGACAACATGCTGATTTGCATATCGGGTTTTATAATTGGCGAAAGGTGGGCATCTGCTCTGGATGATTGTGTTTGTGTGTGACCCCAAAAAACGAAAGTTCTCATAGATAGATGGACCCAGCAGAGTCCACACCCTCGACGGCTACAAATTGGCGGCAGAAATTTCTGCAATATGTGAGATGTCAAGTCCAAAGCCAAGTCCAAGCTTCATAAATGTTTAAATAACACGAATCTCCATGAAAATCAAATAATGTTCGTCTTTTGCGGAGAACCTTTGATCCCAAAGGCAGTTGAAACACATTTCTATGCGAGCATATAATAGTTTTCAATGATGTCTTCCTATAGTATACGAGTGTGCCCCAAAAATCCAACGATGAGTTTTGTGAAACTTTCGAAGAATTGTCAATATTTTTAAAGCATAAACCTCTGCACTATGCCAATAGTTTTGTTTATATATCACTCTATGGATACTACACACCAATTACTATTGGTTTCATCTTTTAATATCAAGCACCTAATTGGATTAAGAAAGTTTTCAAGTTTCAGTTTACAATTTCGAAATGCCTTTTAATGGACAATATACGTACATTTCTGTAGTATAGCTCGACGATTGCAGATCCCTTTCGTATACTTGTACAATATTCATATTTAAGAAGACAGACCTACATATACTTGTATAAATTTGTTTCCTTTACTTATCGATTTTATTTCATCTCTCTGCTTGCAGCTTTCCCCAGAAGAGCATCGAACGCAGCGGATCCACACAATACGATTTGGCTGCCCCGGCCGCTTCGAACACATCCACAGACAGTGGCAGTGTGGGTGGCTATGCCTACCTGCAGAACCATTATGCATCGGGCGCTCACAATGCCGCGGCCGCTATCAATTATCCCCCGCAACAGCAGCCCCAGATGATCTATCAGATCCATGCGCCGCCCCAGCAGTATCCCACGTGCCATCAGCAGCAACAGCAGCAGCAGCAGCAGCAACAACAACAACAGCTGCTACATCAGGGTCACTATATACAACATGCTGGCGGTCTGATAACGGCAGGGCCTCAGGGCGTCGGTCATTATCACCATCACCACATGCTGCACGGACACCACCACCATCATGGTGGTGCTGTCGTCATCGCTGGCAGCGGCGTCGGCACCGGCATGGGCGCCAACTCCGCCACCGTAGCCATGCAACAGAATTTGCACAAAAAGAACTCCATACGAAATGGAGGCGATGTCCTGAAGCGCGCACGAGCTCAGTCAGCGTAAGTAGCACTTCAGTCTTCAGAGTGTGGCAGCCCGTCGACTTAATGCTCTTGGACTTTGCGCCACCAACAACTGTCAACTGCCGCCAATTTATCATTTATGCGATAAACTAGGGGGTTCGGTCTTATCTATCAAAAGTTGTAGGAACTGTGCGAACTTTTTGTAGAGCCGCCTATGAGTAAATTGTTAAAAAATGCGGTATACAAGTACAAGGTGTGTTCCAAAGTAAACAGGACTTTAAAAAAAAAAAACAGAACAAATCAGTTCATTTTATTCAAAATAGTCTCCTTCTGCTTCAATACAGCTTTTTGTACGATCCAAAAGCATGTCGAACGAGTGTTTTGGCTCGTTGGCCGCAAGCCTTTCCTTTCATGGGCAAATGCATTTTTCCGAAAAGGTAGAAGTCGCACGGTGCCATATCAGGTGAATACGGCGAGTGGTTAATGGTTAAAATGTGATTTTTGGTCAAATAATCGGTCACAAGCGTCGATCGATGAGAGCAATTTTTGGTCGTCAGTCAATATGTGCGGAACAAACCGTGCACACACCTTTCGTAAGCCCAAATGTTCGGTCAAAATGCGATAAATCGATGTTTTGGAGATGTTCAATTCCATTTCCATCAATTTCAATGATGATTTCGGCTGATTCGATGGAATTTTCGGTGATCACGAATTTTGATTGGCCCACATGTTGATCGTCATTTATGTCCTCACGACCACTTTGAAAAGGTTGAAACCACTCGTGCACTCTGCTACGGGATAGGCAATCATCGCCATAGGCTTGTTCCATCAATTGAAACGTTTCGTTAAAACTTTTACCAACTTTAAAACAAAATTTAAGGTTGGCTCTTTGTTCGAAGCTCATTTTCGCACCGATAACACAAACATACTTACACTTAAAACGCAATAACTTCACTTCCAATCGATGAAATGCCACGAAATTCTCACTGGACAATCGATAAAGATAGCAGATTCTAACGCACCAGTCGACATATAGAAAGCGCCACCAGGGGGCGCTAGATTCAAAAAGTCCTGTTTACTTGGGAACACACCTTGTAGAATCGAACAAGAAATCAGATATGACGTAGCGATTTAGCTTCGCAGAATGCAGCTGTCGATTAAAAACACTGAAAACAATCCACATTTATAAAGTTGGTGGAAGCAGGTAGAGGTTCCCCAAATGCGATTCATTTAAAAAATTTGCAATCCATTTAACTAGAAGATCGCAAGATCTGGTTGCAAAATAAAAAAAGGTACTCTATAATTCTTCTGTTCGTTCGCAACGATCACGATGGATACCCATTATCTAGCGAGCGAAAAAAGAGGACCAACCTTTGTGATAGAACAATATTGTAGTTTCTAAAAAGGAATCTTTAAATGCCCTAATCTGTGTCGCTGGAATCTTAAAAAACTTTGATCACATCTCAAATTTAAGACGAAAATTCGGAACACCTTAGCGTATAATCAGAACTGGCGTTCTTGTATGCAAATGCAATTGGGAGAGTGATAACAAAGTTTGTCGCTCGTAAAGTTACTAAATAGGGGGAGTATACCAATCCGAAGACTGTCTGTATGTGCAGCTGTTCTTCTTAGTAGCTGCGATAAGGCAGAAGCGAATGCTTTCGGACTCTCAGACAAATACATATTAAAGATTAGCGGCGACAGCAGCTGTGCGCGTGCCGTTTGCGTTTCTCCATAAAGCTGGTCGCTAAAAAATGCGCAAATTAAAATTAGAAAACTGTCGCATAGCAGGTATACTTGTATGTATATATCAGAAAAACAAGAGCAACTGCAACAACAACCACAACTACAATGATACTGCTGGTGACGACGATGATAAGCAAATTTGGACGCAAGTCATAGAAACACATTTTAATCAGGTCGATAGCCCGCCCGAGGAGCAAAAGACGAAAATAAAATTGTCTTTAGCTCTTTCGCTAGTTGTTCTGTCTGTTGTCGTTGCTATTGTTGTGGAGAAAGATATGGCAATCTTATCTCGTTTCGATGTTCGCACCACACACACCTGGGACTTGGGCGGACGGTCGGTCTCGGTCTCGCTCTCGCCCCACTCGCAGATAAAATGGCGACAGTTGTTTGCAAATGTTTCCCAGTAAAGGCTGCTACATTTCTGCCGCATTTCTAGCGGAATACAGCAAGACAATTTGCATTAATTTTCCAATATCCTGCCATCACCTCCTCAGCTACGAGCTATCGCAAGATCTGCTGGAGAAACAGATCGAGCTTCTGGAGCGCAAGTACGGCGGCGTGCGAGCCCGCAACGCAGCAGTGACCATTCAACGGGCCTTCCGCCACTACATGATGGTGAAAAAGTTCGCCTCCATTACGGCCATGGCCAAGGCGGAGAAGCGGCTCAGTCGACGCATGGTGGTCACCACCAGCACGGGTGCATTGCCCGAGGCCACCAACTCGCCCAACGCATCACTCTCCTCTGCCTATGGCAGTGCCACAGAATCTCAGCTGGAGCAGCAGCAACAGCAGCAACAGTCTCCGCATCAGCCGCAACAACAGGCACGAGTCACCATCATGGCGGGACCGCCAGGCGGCGCCAGCGGTGCCGGCTGTGCCTCACCCGGACTGTCACGCACGCCTCCCACGCGCTCGCTTTCAATGCGCGAGCGACGCCAAATGGACTGCAGTCCCATACCGCGCAGCCAGTCGGGTAAGTGCCAAGATATTTCAAGTGGAATTTGACCCACAACTGATTGCAGTACGGAATAACATTCACCAGACTTTTGTGTAGGCCTGGCTGTAATACTTGTAAACATTTATGGGGAATGTTATTTTTGTTCGATCCCAAACAAAGCTTGCCTATCCCATCTTAAGATTCTTCCCTAACTTTAATAAAAACAAGGGCGAGCTCTCTAATATGAATTACCTTTACGTTCTATGCTTAAACTGCTCGAACTGACTCATTCAACCGATATATTAAGACGTTAAGTAATGCTAAATACAATTTTATGAACCATTTCCACAAAACACAATATCGCAAAAAACAACAGAGAACGCTACAGTTGAGCAAGCCCGACAGTGGAATGCCCTGAACCCAGACAATCTTCAGTCACTGAGTTATATGCGCCCCCTAGCAGAAGCAAAAGGAAGAAGAACAGCCAACTTGATGCTGTAGTTTGTGGGCGTAGTACTGGACTAACTTTTCATAGAATTGACCGCTTTGGATAAAACGAAAGTAGATATTTATATATAAATTACGAGTGCAAAGTTTGGTTTATGTAGGTTTGAAAATGTGGACAGTATTGGCGAGGAGATGGGAGGGAAAATCAAAAAAATAAAATAAACTCGTATTGACTAGGGTCTAGGAGCGTCTGCATACCAAGTTTGGTTTATGTACGCTCAGCCGTTTCCGAAATCCAGGCGTTCATCCAGACAGACAGACAGACAGTCTAGATCGATTTCTCTCGTCATGCTGATTCCGAATATATATACTTTATGGGATCGGAGATGCTTCCTGCACAAACCTAATGTGCTCTTTTTACCCTACGGGTACAGGGCATAAAAACAAAGCGATTACTCCGTAGGCCCCAATTTAAAATAGAGAACCTACCGCCATACATACTCGTACAAGTATTTGAATTGAGTTGCGGACTTGACTTAACCAATTTCTATGCCGCCCCGAAGTCTAGATACGATTACATTTTTAATGGCGCTCTCATCCACAGGTGCCTCGCCCGTCTCCATAGCCAGCTCGACGGCCTCGCTGGCAATGGCCCCGCACCCACATGTGAATCTGTTGCACGCGGCCGAGCCGCATTACTATAATAGCATCGTGGTGGCGGCCGCTGCACAGGATGCCTACTACACCACCTACCATGGTTCTCCACATGACATGAGCTACGCGAGCTCGACGGCCAGCTCCCAGCTGGACCGCTCGCTGAACGCATCGTGGGTGAACGTAAGTGGAACCTCGCCACACACACCCTACTATTCGGCCGCACAGATCTATATGCGACCCAAGGGCGGCTCCACCACGCCCACGCCGAGCAACTGCAGCAGCAAAAAGGTGCCCCCGGAGGTGCCCAAGCGCACCTCCTCGATAACGGCGCAACAGCAGAGCCAGCTGATGATGCTGCAGCGCCAGACACCGCCACCACCATCGATGCTGCGCACCAACGGACTCTGCAAGACCGCCGAGAACGGCAGCCTCACGTCCGTTCAGAGCTCTGGCTCGGACTCGAGCGTCACATCAATGGAGCGCAACATAAACAGTGATTTGGGCTCGGATCGCTCGAACTCGCCGCACACCTGGAAACGTGGAACGCCGTTGAACAGTTCGCAGCAATTCTCCACACACTCTTCGGACTCCGTAGCCGCTGGGTACACGGCACAAATGCAGGCGGCTGTGGCAGCAGCTACCGCTGTGGGCGGGGTGCCGCCCACAGATGATCATGCCATCTCATCGCACACAAGTGCTGCCCAATACGAGCAGCACGAGCAACAGCAGCACGAGCAGCAACAGTTGAATGCGGCTGCCGCCTCAGTGGGCGTGGCACAAAACTACAAAATGTCGGAGACCATACGGAAGCGTCAGTATCGGGTCGGCCTGAATCTATTCAATAAGAAGCCGGAGAAGGGCATTACATACTTGATACGTCGCGGATTCTTGGAGAATACGCCACAGGGCGTGGCACGATTTCTTATCACTCGCAAGGGTCTGTCACGCCAGATGATTGGCGAGTATTTGGGAAATCTGCAGAATCAATTCAACATGGCCGTGCTCAGCTGCTTTGCGATGGAGCTGGATCTCTCCGGGCGGCAAGTGGATGTGGCCCTGCGCAAATTCCAGGCCTACTTTCGCATGCCAGGCGAAGCGCAGAAGATCGAGCGGCTAATGGAGATCTTCTCGCAGCGCTACTGCGAGTGCAATGCGGATATTGTGGGGCGTCTGAGATCATCGGATACGGTAAGATACGGATGCAAAAGTCTGTTGTTTTATAGTCAAATATTCTAATATCTGGTTTACTTCTCGTACCCATAGATCTTTGTGCTGGCCTTTGCCATCATTATGCTTAATACGGATCTGCATACACCGAACCTAAAGCCAGAACGACGCATGCGCGTCGAGGACTTCGTGAAGAACCTGCGTGGCATCGATGACTGTCACGACATTGACAAGGACATGCTGAGTGGCATCTACGAGCGGGTCAAATCGGATGAGTTCAAGCCCGGCAGCGACCACGTTACACAGGTCATGAAGGTGCAGGCCACCATTGTGGGCAAGAAGCCGAATCTGGCGCTGCCACACCGCCGTCTTGTCTGTTATTGTCGTCTCTACGAGATACCCGATGTGAATAAGAAGGAACGGCCCGGTGTCCACCAACGCGAAGTGTTCCTCTTCAATGATCTGCTGGTCATCACCAAAATATTCAGCAAGAAGAAGACCTCCGTCACCTACACGTTCCGCAACAGTTTCCCCCTCTGCGGCACCGTTGTCAATCTGCTGGACCTCCAAAACTATCCCTTCTGCATCCAACTATCGCAGAAGGTCGACGGCAAGATTCTGATCACATTCAATGCGCGCAACGAGCACGATCGCCTCAAGTTCGCCGAGGATCTCAAGGAGTCGATAAGCGAAATGGACGAAATGGAGTCGCTGCGCATCGAGGCCGAGCTCGAGCGACAAAAATCGGCGCGCAATCGTGCTCCGGGAAACTCCGAGAATAGGGACAGTGGCGTCGCTGATGTAGAAGTGTGTCCCTGTCCCTATCAGGCGGGCACGCAAGCCGCTGGCGAGCAGGCATCCAACTCGGCGGACTCCACGCAACAATTGAAGCGCAGCGCGCTTAGCAACAGCTTGCTGGACATGCACGAGCAATGTAAGTGGTGGCTAGACTCTATGCTCTGATAGAAATGACTGATTGTTTGTCTTCTCCCGCAGTTGGCAATGAGAAGCCGCAACGACGTGGCAGCGTTGGCTCCTTGGACAGCGGCATGTCCATCTCGTTTCAGTCGACCACCACCTCAAGTGCATCCCGGGAGAACGCTGCCGCCATAGCGGCCGCAGCCAATGCCGCTGCAGCTGCCAAAATACGCTTCAACATGCCCCCAACAGCGGCGGTCGCTGCTCCCAGCAATGTCTACGCAGCCCCTGGCATGCAGGCCTACACCCATGCCAATTTTGTGCAGCAGTCCCATGCAGCCTATTTGCTCCAGCAACAACAAATGCTGCACCACCAGCAACAACAACAGCAGCAGGTGGCTCAAGCCCAGGCGCAGTCAGGTGCCGTGGTAACGGGCCGCATACCGGGACGTGAGCGGAAAGCATCCCGCTCCGATGATAATGCACGCTCCACAGAGGTCTAAAGAGTTCGTCCTCGAGACGGCAGCTTCTCCCACAACTTTTGTACATTCAATTCTTCTGCGCAATTCTGAAAAAGCGAAATTATATTAACACACAACTATACATATACTCGTATAGTCTATAATGTATAATCCGAATCGAAACGAGCCGAACGCCATTTTTGAAAGCAACCTAACAACAACTACTTAGCAAATTTAAAAACGTTCCTTCGCTCCCTGCTAATATTGATGTATTATGTACAATATTAATCATTTGTCGGTTCATTTTGGCTAATTAAATAGGTTTTCAAAACTAATTTGTATATACGTATATATATCAGAATATTATAATTACTCTTCAAGCTACACATAACCGATATACTAGATAACTTTAAACCTTCTCCAAATGAAACACCAATTTTTCACCAATTCAACTTGTACGCCTCCACAAGTCTTATAGTCCACTAGCCTTCTTGATTAATGCAATTTTGATGTGTCTATCATATGCGGCGGACTCTGATTCTTGTGGACGGTACGTAGCTTCTTTGCTTATTTTTCTATCTTATGATCTACAAAGTACATACTATATAGAAATAGTTTACTACTAACACCTCTCTAGGTACGCGCTATGTTTGTATATTATTTCATTATTCAAATTATTTTCGTGTAACTAAAACCGTTCGTATATACCGCGTGTGTGTGTATATACCTTGAATATTAACTTAAAGCAAATTAGCTATAGTTATTCATATTTATAGAGCCAAAACTACCCAAAACCTACAATATATAATAACAAACAAACGAAAAACGTATGAAAACAAACGATATGTATATGAAAAAGCAAAAGACTTAAAAATCTAAATAAATGAAAACAATAATACCAACAAACCGTCTTCTATATTCCCAGCAAACCCCAGAGTCCAAATCGGAAATGAACTTCCCACGCTACTAGCAGTTTGCTATTCCTTCTCATATCAGTTCTATTTTAATGCCAAATCAGCTTTACACAGCAAGCCAGGCAAACATAAATCAGCAACAAGCCAATGCCTGATAGCAGATGCTTCCTTCTAAAGTAAGTAAATAAATTAGATGACATTCGTTATCAGTTGACGATGAACGACTTGCTACTGATTTATGTTCCCCTGTTCTTGTATGCGCTTATTTTACGATTCATTTCGAGATGAGCGTCGATCTAGAGAAGAAAACCCCAGCGAACTTCTCTTTTCTAACGAGATGTGCAACACTGAAGAGGATTTTGCACATCGCTGCGGAAGGTCTATCAAGCTTAAAGAGGAATATGTAAAGAAATAAAGACAATTTTAGCCCCACTTTGTGTTTTCAACTATAAATAAGTTGGAATAAACGTAATATTCCATTACCTCAGCCACATTAATGTAGTGATGTTCCAACTCTATCGCTGAAATTGTTTAATTTTTACCAACCTGTTCATGGTAATTGACGATACTTGTATATGTATGTATATACTATAATAATAACAGATTCCAAATTAAATTGGCTGTAAAATGGACACATACCTTTTGCACTTATAATAAAACCATTGATAGGTGTCTCAAATCAAAAATCGATAATAATAAATTTAAAATTTCCCTCTGTAACCAGAAATTGCGTTTCAAGAGCAATATATTGGGAAAGGTGTATGAATTCTAAACTACCTAGCTAAACAGATATTTGAATAAATTTTAAACATTAGGAAATTAACCTTTTAAGGGATTCACAAATGATTATGCAATTCACACATGTTAGTTTAATATTTAAAATATTACTATTATATATCTTTTATAAATCTGATCTTTGTCCTATTGCGTTAAAAGGATATTGGAACAAATTTTAGAAATCATCAATCAATCAATAGATATCTCTTATGAAGGCGATTAATCCATAATATTGATATCCGAAATTTTGGGAGATGCAATGGATCCATTACGAATTGAGATGCAATCGTGTAAATTTGACCCATTTTATGTACCATTGAAAATTAAACTAAGTCCGGGTTGGTTTCCCAATTCAGACTTACACACCACATAAAGCCAGCATTATAATTATAGTATGTGCAGCATATACTGTACTGATAACAGATTATGATTTCTGATTTTAGAATTCCGAAGTAAGCAAATAAGCGAATTGGGAAGCGTTATCAGCAGACTGTTGGATTTCTTATACCTCTTCAAAACACTTGTGACGGAATGCTGGCCCTATTGCCCTCAAAGCGGACATTGTTGAAGTTCTACCAACCTATAGAACAATTGCATACAAGTACATACATATATAGGTAGTTCTCTAATTGATTTCCAAAATTACAAGCTTTGGCTGCCCCCATTGATTTAACAATTATAGGTTTGTTTGTTTACAGCTATAATTTTTGTTTATTCATTTGAAGTCATAAATATGGTAATTTGAATATTATTTTATTCTTAAATATGGACTCCTCTGTCGTGTTAGTAGAATCAATCAAATGTATTTTTGTTTGTCTTTGCAGCTGTCAATTCGTGTTGTGTACAGCAATGAATATAGTACGTGATTCTGGAAAGTTTATGCAAAATGTTTCTAAATTGTCAAAAAAAAAAGAACCAAACAAACATGTAATTAAATTTGGATGACTTGCTGGTAGAATAGATTTCTTTAAAAAATGGAAATATTTCATTGAATATGCAGTAAGTGCAAATATAGTAATTAAATATTGTTAATTATTACTTTATATTATGTGCTTAGGTAGACTGCAGCCTAATAGCGATTATAACGGCCGCGTGCGCGGTTGCGCTGCGGCGTGGCCTTCGGAGTTGCGGCGGCGCGTGTAGGTGCCGGCTTCTTGGCCGGAGAGGGTGAGGGGTCGGGTGTGGCTGCGGTTGGAGTAGCAGCTGGAGCAGGAGTCGTGGCAGCTGCGGGAGCAGCCTTAGCCGGTGTCTTGGCTGGTTCAGGTTTGGCAGGAGTTGCCACTGGAGCAGGAGTTGGTGCTGGAGCAGGTGTGGGCTCCGGCTGTGGATCGGGCGTAACCTCGACTACATCGTCATCCTGGCCATCAAGCTCTTCGGCATTGTCCTCATTGCCAGCGTCTTCGTCGCCAGCCTCATCTTCGCCTTCGCCGTTCTCAACCATCTCGACGTCGTCGTCATCACCGGTGGCCTCTGATGGATCGTACAGTTCGCCTTCGGCGCCCTCGCCAGCCTCATCACCACCCTCACCGCCTTCAGCGGCTGGAGCTTCGGTCTCCTCCAACTTAATTCTCTTGCGCTCATTCTCCTCCAAAGCGGCGGCGGCGCGCTTCTGTGCGATCTTGGTATCGCTGGACTTCTCATTGATGAACTTCAAGAAGTTACGATGATGCGTAGCAGTGCGTGAATGAATCTCAGCAGTAACTTCCGTGTCGAAGAATTTGCCGCACACGGCGCATTCATAACACTCCAGTTTGGAGATGAGACCGGCACCAACGGCACGCTGCCAATTGTATTTGGGTAAACGGGTATCGACCTCGCTGGGGATCTCATCGCCATCGATGAAGTCTAAAATGCAGTCCTCGGGATCGATGGGTAGTGCGACCTCTTCTTCCTCTTGGCTCTCGTTGATGTCCTCACCCTCCTTGGTTTCATCAGCCGCCTCTTCACCCTCCTTGGTCTCATCCCCCTCGGCTTCGGCTTCTTCGCCCTCAGCACCCTCTTCGCCTTCTTTCTTAGCTTCAGCCGCATCTCCCTCTTTCTTCGCAGGCTTCTTCTTGCGCTTCTGTGGTGGGCGCAAGTCCCTGGTCTCCTCCTCTTCAGTGCTGATGGGCAAAGTCTGGCGCTTGCGCTCGCCCACCTTGGTGTTGCTCTCGGCGGCCTTGATCAAGTGATCGGCCGACAGCAAATGGGTGTCGTAATCGATGCGCGTGGCGAACTCCTTAGTGCACTCAATGCACTTGGGGTGCAGGAACTTCTTCAACTGCAAATGTCCCTCGGACTTGCGATGGGTCGAAATATGACCGTGGAAGTTGAGATCGCACATCGTGCAGTAGTCCAACTGGCGCTGCTTGCTCTTGCCCATACGCTTCAAGCGATCAAACTCAATGGACTTCAGCTGTTCGGCGATCTTGGCCTCCTGACGTATCATGTTGGCCTTTAGACGGTAGCTCTCCTCAATGCCCTCGCGCATCATCAGATGAGTGCGACCCTTAATATGGTTCTCGAACGAGGTGGCATCCCACATGTGCTTCTTGCACAGATGGCAATAGAACATATCATTGGGTACACTAGCGTACGGAGACTCCTTGCTGCTGTCAGGGATCCGACAATTAATTGGTGAAGAGAATGAGAAATTTAAGCATTAGTTTAATATTCTTCCTAAGCTCACGCACGAGATTTGTGACTGTGTTTACAGAACGGCGGTATAGGGAACAGTCACAATGGGAACAGTTCTAATGATAGGAACAGTAAAGGTGATGCAGTAATTATGATGATTTTGGTATAGGCTGATGAATTGGGTGATGCAGATCGAATATATCTTTTTATTCATTTTTGTTGTTGTTGAAATGAGCAGCAGCATGCCCCAAAATTGTATATAGATGCAATTTTTAGAACATGCTTTGCTTATGCAATGTGTAAATCTATTTAGAAAAATGAACAAAATCGAATATGTGAAGCAGCGCACGTTTCGAAGTCAAAGTCAGCAAACCATAAACTCAATTCTATTCTAGAAACGGCAATAGATGACAAACTTTTATAACGTTCTCGATTTCGAAAAGACTATTATAAAATAAGTATATATAGTATATTCCTTGAACTACAACATAGTTAACAGATTTAACATTTTTTTTTTTAAACACTTCAAAATAAAACATTTGTTAAAGAAATGAAATCGCGTATAGTTCGTTTATAGGGTTTATCGAATAATTGATCCTCTAAAAAGTTGGGGATAGAAAAGAGAATAAGTAAATCTACTAAATGCATAATTTTTTACAGACGGGCCCTGCATTTACGAACATCTAACAGAACTATATATTTGATTCGCCATTTGCCTGCGAAACGTGCGTGTTCTCTAGCGGAAATAATGTAATATATAATACTATGCAATACGAGTATAACTTAAGCCCGATTGTCACGATGAATACATAATACTAAGTACGAGTATGTGTAGGTGATATAAACTTAAGGAGTAAAATAAAATAAACTAAATGCGCTATGCAAAACGAAAATGTGTAAAGGAATAATACAAAAATGGTACAACTAAATATGTTTCTTTACCCGCCCGAATCAGGGAAGGAAAGTGAGGCGGCCCGACCCAGCCCGAAACACATTCGAAAAGCTTTAAAAGTACAAGTCAGAGGGAGTCTGTCTAGATGTCTAGAGTTCTGGACAACAGCAATTGCAAGCATCTATACCATCATTTTGAAATTGGGGGCATTATTTGTTATAGATTTTATCGGATGAAGTAGAAAAAGTTGTTTGTAATTCAAAAATATCATTCATGTAAATACTTAAATAGTAACGATTTTTTTTTAAACATTAAATTGAGAAAATTTATATAAAAGTAATTTGTTTTTTTTTTTTGGATTTGAATATGTGAAAAATTTGTTGAGACAATTTTTCGCAATTTTTTTGGTTGTTGGTATGTTGTAGTTTGGTTTTTATTTGTACTCTTACCTCTCAGTTTTCTTTTCGCCAGGAGTATTTTCCTTCTTTTTATTATTGTTGGCATTTTTAGCCAAAAGTTTCTTGGCACGATCAAAAGCATTCTGCTTACGAATGCCGCCACCACCCTGCTTTTGGGGGGGCTTGGGACCACCAGCAGCGCCACGATTTTGGAAACCTCCTTGGCCACGACGATTATTGAGACGATTGCCGGCACCGCCCCCGCGATTTACCATCTTTTGTTTATGTTATTTAATTTAAATTTAAGTATAAACGAATGTAATCCGATACAACAATATTCGTGATATGAAATGCGCATAATTTTGCAGTTGTTGATAAAACCACACGTGTCATGAAATATAGTCCATCATGTACAACATAATTATAAGATATTATGACATTTATAGAAGAGTCAATATGGTTGCATTCAACCATTTACAATGTTGGGGGTAATTATTTAAAAGTGTGTGTTGGGATTTCGATATTTTCGATTTAGATTTTTATGACATTCAATGAGAGTTGTGCGCAAAATTTGTATACATTTTCAAAACGACAACAGAGTTGCATTATTTAAATACGAGAACGGTTTCCGAATTTAAAATTGTTCAGTAAGCATACATATATAAATATATAGATAGATATAGGTTAATGGTAATCGGCGTTTGGGCGGCCGCACAATCAGTCGACGGGGTAGTGGTAGTTGTTGAAGTCAAGTCGTTGGCGTGGCGGCGCGTGGCATTTTGGTGTTAGTTTTGAAACAGGCAATAAATGTTTGAATATTTGATTTTTTTCGATCAGAGCAGGAACGTCGAAGAAGAGTGGCGTTTAGTTTATATTGTTGGCGATACATTATTAGTTTTGGTTTTTGGAAGTAGCAGTAGTTGCACCATCAATCAGTACCAGTACCAGATCGGATCGGTTTCGTTTTAGAGCAGAGCAGATATAAGAAGAGTTCAATCAAGCGGTATATTCACAATCAATCAGTGGCAATCGTCGCATATATATATATATATACATATATTTATATATAGATAATAGTATCATGGTTCATTTCAGCGCATGTTTTTGACGTTTGTGTGTGTGTTTGCAGCATTTTGAATTGTTGTTTGTTTTATTTATTTTTATTATTTTTGTTGGTTTGTGCGTTTGACGTGAGTGCCGTGGTTGAAAAATTGCGCCGCATTTAACATTTTATTATTTATAGTTTTCAAATTCATTGTTTTATGCATTTTAACAATACAAATAATAATAATAAATGTTTAAACGTAATAAATTGCATAAACATTGTGCCCAGGGACGGACAACAACAAATGTAGCAACACAAAAGTTGATCGCGGAGCGCAGCAGCAACAACGCGACGGCAAAAACGCAACAACATTTTCAACAACGATGCCGAATGAACACAACAACAACAAACACATGCCCGCAGCAGAGTGCACCACCAGAGGAGGAGGATGACACAACCCATCGATCGTCAATCGGCATATTGGCATTTTAGAAATGCATGCGATTCAAATTCGGTTTGCGTTTTAAAAGTTTGTATTGTATATGCAAACAATCGAATTTTCGTAAATTGGTTTCGTGTAGAAGAGAATAAAAATAAATATTTGTAAATTAGAAAATTTGTGATTTGTGAAGAAAATCCAAGAGCTTGGATTTGTTGTAGGTTTTTATAAAAGTATTTGTAAATTGTAATTAAACGCTTAAATACATATAGTAAGAGAAATATGCATAAGTAGTTACGTACTTTAATTATCTGTAACATCATCATCATTGTCATACTCTTTTCATCGTTAAATGGAAAAAATGTTGGCGGTACTTTATTTATAGGTACAATCATAAAATTTTCAAAATAATTGCATTCAACGAAATTCGTTTTGTGCACTTTAGATTAGTTTACCAAATGAAAACAAAAATTTGCATTTAAAATGGATAAATGCGTTTTGTACTAAATAATCCTCTATAACATAAGGCACAATTATTTTACAATATGTATTTTGGTCTTTTGGCTTCTTTCCGAAATTAATTTCAAAGCTACACGCAGATGTCAAATTTCTTCGCTTCGTTTTTCAGTTCACTACTATCGTTTAGTTACCAAAAGGGAAAGCAATAACTACGTTTGGCAAAGCAACAGCTTATAAAAATGTTTGTCTTAATTCAATAAAAAATAATAACAATTGGCTTTTTGAAACTTCTGTGGAGGTGGTGGTCGCAGGAACAATTTAAAAATCTCTTAGCATATTATGACACATTTCACGTATTTAGGCTGATCAGTGTATGAAAACATTGAATCCACATTTTTTTCACTATCCTTTTCGCTGGTATTATTATAATGAAGTAGGGGACTTTGGATTATATATTCAGAAACAATTATTATATTTCTCATTAGATGTGTCAATTGTAAATGTCTTTATGGAGTCTTGTTTGCAAGGCTATGTAGATTTCGTCTAGACATGCCTCATCATATTATAAAATTACCGAATTTATATGAAAGCAGACAATTGGGAATACAAATTCTTTCAATGTTCTAATGTTTCCAAACTCCTTCACAGAAATTCAATTCGCGTACTACGAATTGCTTCAGAAGACGTAAAAAACAAACGCATTATAAACAAAATTAAAGGTATTCAACAATCTTACAATTAGGAGCCGTTAATTGAACTTCATATACATACCGGTCCACCTCGCTGATTGCGATTTCCCATGCCCCCACCGCGTGGCAAGTCCAGCAAAGAGGGTGGGTTTTGATTTCTAAATAGATTGTTCAGCAGATTATTAGCCAGATTGATGGCTTGGGCATTCATTTGGCCACCGCCCTGACGCATGTTGTTGCCAAACTGGCCGCCGCCGGGATTTTGAGACTCCCAAGGCGACATGTTAATGCCGCCCATGCGGCTAGCACCCATTTGGCCAACATAGTTGTTGCCACCTCCGAAGTTTCGATTACGATTCTGATTTCCACGGAAGGCCATGTTTGCCTTTAGATTGTTACCGTTATTAAAATGTGATGATTTATGCTGATGCTGTTGTTGAGAGTTGCCGTTGACCTTAACGCTGCAAAGGGTAAAAGGTCGTACATTGAGTTAAAACACAAAAAGATGCATTTCAATCGCACACATTTAACAAAGTGCATGCATTATGGAACTTGCAGCATACCTGACCATAACTTTTATATTTGTTGTTTTGTGGGGAAATTTGGGATGTGAATTTATGTGCTAGCGGGTGTATTATGAAGCGATTAAGCTAAGCAAATAATTTGGAATATATTTTGAGCTGAAAATAAAACGGCACAAACATACAATTATGAATGAAGCACTTAACCTAGTCGGGATTAGTTCAGGGAAAATTAGTAAGTAGATATAGGGACTCGTACTTGGTTAATAAAGTTGTCCGGGTGTGAGCGGAAAGGTAGTATACATATTACCTGTACACACAAAAAGTGCGAATGAAATAGGTTTAGCCAATTGGGCTACCTGTTTACAATTGAAACAATTACACACAGCGAAAAATGAGGACAATTTTAGCGCTAACACCAACTGAGTTCATTAAACTGGTTTGTGGTTTATACTTGACCGTTTAATGGCAATAAAACCGGCTAAAACAGTGACAGAGCTGCCAAGTCATAAAAACAAAACCCAGCACATGTATGTTTGTGTGCAAGAAAAACAAGATGGCGTCAGTTTGTTTGCATGTATGCTTGTATGTATACATAGATGGTTACTGGGGCCGGTCCACTGGAGCACCCCTTTAATTTGCATGACTCAAAGAAAAACCGGCCGCAAAGAAAAGATGTTTTAATTAATTTCACACTTGCAGGCGTATTTGACTTTAATTCAAGGCAACATAATCGGTACTAATCTACAGCTAAATGCTTAGCACTTTGTTATTCAAACTGTACTTTTTACTGACCCACCACTGTCTATAAAAACCTACCAAACGTTCATAAGTACGTTATATAATGCGCAATAAAACAAACTCACACGGTAGATCCTTTTAACTTTCACGTTTTCACAGCACAGCAATAAAATCAATATTTAATGTCAGCCCCACTATTCCCGGTTGCTGCAAAATTCTGACGGATACACACACATTTTTTCTTTTCACTGACTACACACCACCGACCCAAACACATGCAGAGTGCAAACAGATACAATAAATTGGACAAAACACTTACGTGCGGCTGCTGCAGTGGTCAATTTGCAGATTAATGCACAATTTATGACTTGTTTAACAGCTATTCTATTATTAATGTCTGGAAATCCAAAATGGCCGTTCTGTGAAAAATTAACTCCGCACGACGTCCGAACAATGCTAGAGCTGGAAATCGAATAAATTGACATCGACTGTGAGGCGATAGCATAAAAGTTCTCGCAAAGAGTGTTAGTTACAACGTTTTACCGCCAGATGGCTACAACAATTCCATACGTTGTCCATCACTGTGCAGTTATCGATTAATTGCTGGCCAAACAGATGTTGTCGGTTTTGACTATTAACCGCGATTTATAGAAGAATTAAGTAAAAATGATCTTCAAACAATAAAACAGAATTAAAACGCAATTAAATCTATCCATTTCCTGAGGCGATAGAATTACTTCAGAAGCAACGTTATAATTACTTTGAACACCGATATAGCTGAAAATATGTACGAATTTAACAGGATTTTAATTTTAAATTTCTTGTCGTACCTCTTCCAAGCGTATTTTCTATGTTTCTTTAATTAAAATTACTTCGTTTTTCATATGTTAGGAATTAAACTTCCACACGACAGTCCGAATATTTATTGCCAACTATCAGATTCCTAAATACTTGGTTAACCTAAAGATTATAAATTGGCAAATGTATGAACTTGATCAAATGGCTGTATGTACATACAAACATACATATGTAGATACTTATTTATGTATTTTATATGCAGTGAACTACTTCTGTTTGACAAAGCCCCACTTTATTTACATTAGAGTCCTTTTTCTACATAGACTCAATTTGCTTTTATTTTTCGAATACCAAACACATTCTCAGTATTCAAGTACTGAGAATCAAACAGAAAGGCGTCGTTTGAAAAAAAAAAAAAAATACATAGTTTGATTATTTTTATTTTATTCTGTAGACATTTAAAACACACATAAATGACAATTGACGTAGACTTTGTATATAAGTGTTTTGTTTTAAAATAATATCGTATTTAGATCGGCAAGGCAATAGCAGCTCATCTAAATAAAAATACTCTTTCATTTCATTTGCCAATAAATTCGTCAGGAAATCCTTTAAGGAACTCACACAAAAACAGGTCGTGAATAGTGACCAACATACTATATGCACATTCTAGTTAATCATAGCTACTTCTTTGGGAAATACCTTGTATATACGTATATTTGTATCCATATATGTATGTATATATATGTATTGGGTGTTTTGTAAATATTAAAATTTGCGCTAATATAGAAAAGTGCACTAATATTAGCAGCTAAAAGTAAATAATTCTCTGTGACCTGCTCTTGGCCATCCTTAAAGCCTACATGCTCTTGTTGAAGCTCAACGCCGCTCGCAATTTGTTGCGTATGCGGGGCGAGTTCCAGCGATTGCTGCCCGCCGATCCAATGCCTACAACGGAACGTAAGTCATTCGGCGAGATGCCCTCGTCCACATCGTCGGCCTCGGTTTTAATCTCCATCTTCTGCACTATAAGGCGGACCAGTTGATGTTGTTGCTCCAACATGCGACTAATGTCTCGCAACTTGCGGCGCTGTCGCTCCAGCTCTGCATTTATGTAATCGTCGTTGTTGTCAAACGCTATGACATCCATGGCGGCTACAAGGACAGAGTCAGTATTCAATACCAAGAAGCTATTGATAATACCTACAGTCTTCAGTGAAAGGATTCGAGAACCATTTGCGCAGTATAAAATCGAGAAAGCCAAGCTTGCACTTTGTGTCGTTGGGATATTCAATGAGTTCCATTTTATCCACCCTTTGCAGCCAGACATGTGGGAGCTTGCGCTCCAACTCAGTGTGGAGGACCACCTGCATGGCCAGACGTTTGAGCTGCGCGTTGCGGCGCACCGATTCGATGTCTCCAACGGCCAAACCGATAAGCAGATTCATCAGGAGAATGGGCATTAAGATCATGAAAACGCCTGTAAACATGCATTATTAATATTATGCCAAGTGGACTTGACCCATAAAGATCTAATTACTTAGTATCAAGAACGAAGTCATGGGCACTTTCAATTGATCGCGGTAATAGGTGTTGACATAGGTGCCTACGAAGTCCAACTCTCCCAGCATCATCGAGAATGTTCGCAATAAGGACATTGGTATGTTTGAGAATGACAAATGATTGGGCTGGGGATCAATTATCTAAAAATATTTCGACTTTTGCTCAGCTTCATTTCAACTCGAACACAGTTTATGTTGATAGCTTACCTTCGAAAGCAGTATATAGAATGCCAGTCCAAATGCTATGATCAAAATAGAGAATACTAGTAACACTTTGATGAGTGTTTGCAAGATCTCCAAAAACATAACTACATAGATCCCGACCTGAAAATATACAAGTTTTTTTAAGAATTGGATGTTCGATTTCAATAAAAGAAATGTGAAGTTCTTTTATTGAAATCTCAAGGTGAATATTTATCAAACAGAATGTTTTTAAATTCCGCTTGCTTTAACTAATTATTTGCTAGACTGACTAGGGAACTCAAAATTTTCCAATATATATTTAATTTGTATTATAAAAGATTACGAACTTGATCGAAACGCTGAAGAAAGAGCAAAAGTCTGAACCACGAAAGAAACACCGCAATGGAGGCCGCCGAATAGTGTATGGTATTGATGCTGCCATCCACTTTAAAAGCCGGAGCTATCATAACCAGTGCGGATAGGTATAGCACCCAGGATATCAAATTGACGGTTTCGACCAAATAATGCAGACGTTGTTGATAAATTTGAATAATTTCGCGCATTGAATTGAGCAAAATGTAGACCACAATGATGACAGCGCAGACGAGAATGCCCGTGGACCGATTCAAACGTTCCGCCGACAACTCCAGATGTATTTCTTCAGCCATTGAAGGGTTCTTAGATAGATTGTAGATGAGCTCCTTATATCTGAAAGAAACAATATACAACATTAAGGCTTGCAATATGATCCCACTACTTACCCCTTCTCTCCATAGTGACCGATGGTCTTATTTGCGCCTGGGCGCATCTCGATGTTATTCATCATTAGCGACGAATAGATGGTGACGAAGACCAAGAATATTGAGTAAATCAGGAGATTAGCCAGGTGAAAATATTTTCCGTACGAGTTCCATTTCATTTGTAGATACTTCTGGCTGAGCGGATGGGCGAGCAGCTCCACACGACCATGGGTCACCATTGTCTGAGCAAGATAAAAACAGATTAGTGGCAATGATCCAAGATGATATTCATATACTATAACATGCAGTTTCTAATACAATACGAAACAAAAAGCATAATACATTAAGCAAAATTGTTTATTCAGCACAGCCTTTGGACGTTTACACAGTTTGCGATCTCTGTAGTGAAAATTAGTTTTAAGCTCTTTGTACACACTCCGAATCAAATGAATAGATCAACCTGTATTGCTGCAGGAAAGCATTTACTATATCTTTGACCCATTCCGCAAAATGGAGCACATCATTGGTTTCTAGAGTTGCTAATAAATTAAAATGTGGTCATACTATAAAAGCGCCTTCCGATTAAAATATATATATTTAGATGTTTTTAAATTATTTACCATTGAAATGCTTGGACATTATTTGGGCGAGCATTTTCACTTTCTGTGATAAACTTCCAATTATTTTAAAACATTTATTGCGCCATTCATTTACAAAATCGACGAAATCATCCCTGTTTATAGAAAATTGAATAAATTTTCAAAATAATAATGAACTACAAGTAGTTCTGGAAATTTATGTTGCTTGGTACTAAGAATGTCTTCTGCAGCAATATTTGTTGTCATGTTGGTGTGTATTTATTTGATCGCCAGAGTATCTATTTATAATATTAGTACTATTTTCAACTCACATTCACCACAGCCAATGGCGCTGGACGCCATTTCGGATCATTGAATTCTTTACGTTTTTCCTCAATTTGTTCAGGCGATTTTTGGAATGGCCGAAATGAATATTTGATCTAGATATTTGTTCGTTTATAAACTTGTTAAAATCGGGCTTGGTATGTGAGTGTGAGTGATGCTGAGGTTGAGATGTATGTATGTATGAATGGGCGCGTTGAGATTGTGTAAGGAAATAGGTTCTGGCGTTAGTATGTGTGTAGTAGTTACATTATTGTTTATAATGTACCCCGAAAGCTATTAATTGCTGTTAAGTTTAGGATAGCAGTGGCTATCTACGAGTATAGTTTGGATAGGCAAATTAACTTGAATTTTAAATTATTTAACATATAGTAGAAATTAAAAATTATGTATGTATATATATATATTTATAAACACTCAGAAGCATGCAATCTTGCTTTGCTGCTTACATTCAATGCTGGCAATGGGGTGGGATTAGATGTCATAATCGGCTCTCCGGTTTTATCATCGAGCTTAGCAAACATAAAGGGGCATTGCAAAAATGCAAATGAGTATTTAATCTAGAGTTTGAGTTGTTGAAGAAAAGAGCTTGCGTTAAGAAACCATTCCTTAAAAAGTCAATAATGTATGAAAGTTAATGAGAAAGTGGGAAAGTGAAATCTGGATGTCGAATGTTTGCCAATGGAACGACTTACGTAAAAGCTCTTCGAATCCTTCTTGCAGTTGGCTTTGCTAATACACTTATCCTGCACTGCCTCGAAAACCTTGGGCATCGAGGCAATCAGTGCTAAAGTAACGCAAGGATGTTTATCGGAACGCAGAGCCATTACCTCATTGGCTCGCTCCTCATGTGTGACCATGGCCAAAGCCGCCTCCGGATACTTGTAGTAAATAGCATAATCGATGGCGCTCATGTCCAACACATTGTACAGCAGCTTGCAACCCATGGACATGAGAACCGAAATAGCATGCGGCTTGTTCTCCATGGTGGCCAGGTGTAGGGCAGTGTTCTATCGTAATGAGAAGTGGTAGAAAATTGGTTTTTATGCTTAGGTACTAAGTAGGCCAACATGGTTATAAGTTTAATCAAAATATTACGGAATATTCGATGAGACGGAAACTTATTTAAAAATAAACCAATAACTATATACACATGTTTTCAAAAAGTTCGGAGCCATATGCACTCGAAACTTCCTGGCTTAAAAACTGGTTTATTTAAACAATACTTAAAACTCTTAAGTTTAGATATTCATATTTGGTACTTTATAAAATATATATCACAAATTAAATAGACAAAAGCATGGCATTTAATAAATAAATAAGCAACAAGAGACTGTTACTGAAATCTTTTAACTTCAATTTCAGATTTTAAATAAAAGTATGTACTATAAAATAATGCATCCCCACTTGAAAAACACATTTTAAATAAAATATTGTCAATAATTTGACCATAATTTGGCAAATAATTTGACATAAATATGTCGAATTTCATGATTATATTCATATCTAAATTAAAATCATTTTCAAATTGTAAGTTTAGGTAAGATAAAGCTTTGTGTTTTTACAAATTAATTCGGAAATTACTTTTCCTAGCTTCCAAAATGTTGATGCCAATTATTTGCATGTCTGACCGTAGCTTTATTTGGTTCAAACCTCCATTTAGGTAATAGAAACTTCTTACCATTACTTAAGATTCTGAAAGAGAACTGGAGCTGAATTTAAACTCGGTACTTACGCCATCCTTGTCCACCTGATCCAACAGATGCGAGTGCACAGAATGCAGCAGCTCGATGGTCTCGGTGTAGCCGGACATGGCCGCCAGCTGGAGCGGATTGCGTCCAGTGTGATCGCGATGCAAGAGTGCGCCTCGATTCAATAGAAGCTGCACCACACGAGTATGTCCTTGCTGTGAGGCAATGTGTAATGGCGTCATGCCCATGCCATCGCTCTCGTTGATGATGAACGAACCCTTTTCCGAATCGAGCAGCTGACGTACTGTATTATAACGACCATAGCGTGCTGCAAAGTGCAGGGGACTCTCGTTGTTGTTGTTCTTCAGATTAATGCAAGCGCCCAGACGAATAAGATTCTCCAGGGAGCGAATGTGACCATCCCGACTGGCATAGTGCAGTGGCGAACATCCTGTGTTGTCCTTCTCATTCAGTAGCAGTTGTAACTGCTGTTGGGTCTGACAGCTGGACACTTGCTCGGCAAAATCGGTCAGACGACCGCCATTCATGATGACGAAGTGCAACACATTACGCGCTGCCGCATCCTTTACACTAATGCAGGCGCCCAAACGAATCAACAGATGCACCGTCTTCCAGCCACTGCGCGAGGCTGCCAGAAGCAGTGGAGAGCGATGCTCCTTATCTAGGGCATTGATGTCGGCGCCCTCGCTAACCAAATATTCAACAATGTCGGGGTGATCGAACATGGAGGCGCAATGCAGGGGCGTCATTTTCTGAACATCCGTGCAGCTCAGACAAATCCGTTTCTCCAGCGGTTGCATTTCAAACATCAGTTTAACAATTTCAATAGCACCCTGAAAGTACATTGAGGATAAAAAAGATATAGGAATGTATACGCTACAGTCCAACTTCTTTAAAATTAATTTCTCTTAGTGCTTCTTTGTGTCACAAATAATTCACTTCCGCATACAATATACGTTTTGTTTTTGGGATTTCCTGCATAAATGATATAATAAGTTCATTAAACTTAATAAATATTTATTTGCTCGTATTCTATTTAATAAAAGACAAATGCAAATATCTACTTATCATAAAAAGCTTTAGGGAGGAGGACAACAATTATTGGACTCCATTAATAATAAAAAGAAGATAATTATGTGTTTAATAAATTGTATTGTACCTAATTTTACAAAATATTTCCATTAATAAATAAAATATTAAATAAAAGCCAAAAATTTAAAACTTAAAAACAAAATTTTCCTTTAAATATAAAACCTCAGTTAAATAAATCACTTCATTTATATTTCCTGCAGTTATGTTGCTTTAAGTTCACTCAAAAAGTTTGAGGCCATGTTTTTGAAAGAGCTTTGACTTAATTACTGAAATGTTTTATAATTTTATAAAAATATTATTAATAAATTTGGCTTTAGGAGGCCACACTGTTGACTCTCTATTGACACAGTGGCAAGGAAAATAACATATTTTATTTCATCTTTGTTTTGGTATTTGCTTGCGACGTCGTGGCAGCTCCTCCACTGCTCAGAAAAGTCACGTTCGTCGTGTCGAAATTTGCATAAGAATTTGTCAAATTAAAGTCACGAAGGTTTTCACACCCAAAAGTGTCAGCAGCAAACACACAAGCACTTGGGCGCTATTTGCACTTCACTTATGTGCCGAATGAGTCGCCCAACCATCCCCCCCTACTGACCCAAACATACCCCTAGGCATTTATCACTTACCTGTGCACAAGCCAAGTGTACGGGTGTCGAAAGATCATGTTGCTGTGTTGATATCTTTGCGCCAGACTTGAGGCACAATTCCACTGCCTTGATGTCGCCGCCGTGCACGGCGGAATGCAAGGGCACATTGCCTTCTGAATCGTAAAACGATATCATTTCCTCGCGTGTGCAGCCGCGTTGTTCGCCCCACTGTGCAGCGTGAGAAAATGAAAAGGAAAATGATTAAACAAGCATGTCATTTTAGCACTTTTGCTGTGATTGCTGGTTGGCCGGTTGTTGTATTTTGCTGGCGACTGGTAGTAGTAGCTGTTCATTGCTAGGGTGCGCTAAAATCTATTCTATTTTAAAATACAGTTACAAAGCTATTGGGCTTAAATGCGATGCTTTGTATATTCATGCCAAAATTATAAATGCGTATCACAACTTATAATTGAAATCTGGAAATAAAAGTTTCAGGCATGTTCAGAATTCAAAATATAAGTTGATTTCAGATTTTCAGCAGACATTTCTACAAAAGATTTAAATAAAATTTAAAGACACTTTCATTTAGGCATAAAAAGTTCATTTAACCATGTCTAAGTGTGATTCGGTTGAAAGAATTCGGAATTAAGAATTTGCCGTATTATTAATCAATACTTTTAAACTATGTGTCTGCAGGCAAAACTAAACTAACATAAATGCATGAATTAATCTTAAAACTGAAATACGGATATTAGAAGCATTGGCCATGACCTTAGGAGTTTGTTAAAACGCGCTCAATATTTAAAAAAGAAAAAAAGGAGCTTATAACACATAAAAGTGTAATTAGATATATTTCTAGCTTTTATTTTATTTATTATTTTTCAATATATTTCATGCTTATATATATATATATATGGTTTACCAGTCTTTAGTAACTCTAAAGCTACCAAACAATATTTGCTTAATGCTATAACAATGTTAATAAAAAACATTTGAGCGTAATTTAAAAACAAACTGGCGGACTTAAAGCTAAAAGAGGAACTTAGACAATATAACCGATCTCTTAGGGTACGGTGCAACAAAAAATCACTTTCGGAAATTGCTTAGAAATTTCGAGAGCTTTCTTCCAACTGTAATGTTACTCGGGGCACACTCTTTTGTGTAAATTATCTAAGTTTATACACCTTTGGCGTTTATTGATTATCAAGGCAAGGGTACGCACTTAAATTTGATATTTTTTACAATTGACTTCTTTAACGCAAGTTGCGCAAGTTGAATGCTCTGGGCGGACACAGCGCTACGTATACGCGATTTTAAAAAGAAAAACAAAAAAGGAAGGAAAAAATGGTCAGCTCAATGCAAGTTCAACAAAATGTAACCAAAGGCAAGATAAGACAAGTCATTACGTCAACAGAAAATCAAATAAAGCGAATAAGCGCTGGGTGGCATATAATGGTCAAGCTCACCAGTATATGACATCAAAGACAAATGCATTTTATGGTGGAAAGTTAACTATGCATTTAAGAAAAAAGTGAATCTTGCATTGAATGACTCAACACTTTGATTTATTGCAGGGACATGCAGTACTTGCCTGAAAGAAAACCTCCATTGTCTTAGAGCTGGCATTTTTAGCCGCTTCGTGAATGGGATAATAACCGTTGTTGCAAGGTCTACGGGGGCATGCATCGAACTCAGTAATCTGCAAGATACGACGCACACATTACATGATTTTTGGTTGCTTAAACAATAAAGTGCTATTTTTTAACATAACCTTCTTATTGGAACAATATAAACATACATTTATTACCAAACGCTACACACACACACACACACACACACACGCACATACACACACGATTACCCAATCGCACAAACACTAAACACACAAGTGAGAGCGAGAGAGGAGGCTAAATACCAGGCGGCACTTGACAGCAGTTTGTGTTGCTTGAAATATTAAAGCATACTTTCGTGCGCAGGCAAATAGGATTATTGTTGGTGTACAAACCTTTTTTGTTATGCTTTCTATGATAAATTAGACTAGCATATTGTTGTATATGTATGTAGGGTGAATGTGTGCTTGTGTGTGTGTGTGTGTGTGTGTTTGTATGCATCGTAATGTCGTTGATTAATGGTAAAGTGTTTGTGTTCGCTATCAAAATTCAAATACAAAATGCACATCGAATAGATTGTCTCAATAAAGTTTATCAATTGTGCATGATTAAGTTGAGCCGACTAGTTCTATGTGATATCTATTTCAGTCTCTAGAAGGAAAATAGTTATATGTACAATTTGTGCGCACTCACACCACTTACCAGGATACGGGCGCACTCCTCGTGGTCATAAATAGCCGCCAAGTGTAGAGCTGTGCGTCCATGCTCGCCACCCTGTTGGATGTCGATAACATTGCGATACTGACCCATGACTCGCAGGGACTTCACTTTATTCAGCTCAGTGGCCAAATGCACTGGTGCTTGCTTCTTTTCGTTGAGAATGCTAGTGTCTACTGGTCTGTAAATGGAATCAAATGCGTTAAGCGTTAAGAATAAGTCGTAGGTAGCAGACAGTTTGGATGACTGCCAATCAGAGCATCCACTTACATGGACAGCAAATAATCCAAAGCATCGTAGGCATCACATTCCACAGCAATGTGAAGCGGAGTGTTGCCTGCATTATCCTTTGCATTAAAGTCTGCAAGTTAATTGAAGTGTTTAAAAAGTAGATAAGGTCACAGCTAATTAAACGGCTGGCCACTCTCTTTCATAGCCTTATACAACTTACCGCCATTTTGGTCGCGTATATAGCGCAGAATGTTGACACGATTCCTGGCCGCTGCCTGATGTGAAGCTGTACGGCCCTTGCCATCCTTCAGAGCTATGCGTGTATTATCTGCCATGAACAAACGCTTGAAATCATCCAAGTTTCCAGACTCGGCCGCCTGACACGCACAGGTGTATGGAACGAAAGATAGTTGCACAAGTTAAATTAGTTTACCCGACAATTTCTACAGTAGAACCTTCTTGAGTATAAATTTTCTCAAAATTCAATGTCTTATTTTATTTAAATTAATATAAAATTAGAGCCGAAAACGAAAACGAAAACTATAAACACTATTTGGAACAGCAGCCTATATTGATTTATTCTCGAAATCATCGTTTACTGACTATTATATTATATTGTTGCTCGGAACAATTTCCTCTACTCATGTAGATTTGAGTTTGCTTTAACTCGAACCGCAAACCATATACATACATATGTTGAATTTTACTTCTATTGACTGTTAATAAGAAATTGTGTGCCTCTATTTTTTGAGCTTCAGTAATGAGTAATAATAAATTTAAAAATATGCAATACGACAACAAATTAATATAAATAACACACATACAGGAAATAATATAAAATGTAATTTTATGTATTGTTGCATATAGATAAAAAAAAACGAATTAATTAAAAGTTAATAAATACAATAAATTGTATGCATTTATTTGGATTACCAACATAACATAAAATATTTTGAAATGTACAAAATAATATTTTGAAATTTACTTCGTTATTATTTGATTCTAAATAATAATGAGACATGAATATATTTTGAACGGACCCTGAAATGCTAACCCATTTTATATTTTAACACACCACAGAATTTTAATATAAATAATTACAAGTATGCTGTGTGTACGACATAGTATACTAGTATCTGAAGCATTTCTTTGTTAGTAAAAATTTTTCTAATCGCAAACATTTTCTTTTTTTTAGCTACCTGTTGTTTATGTTAAATGATAGCTACTATACTCTCATAGTGAATATTTATTATATTTACTTTGTTAAGTAAAAATTCGCTGCAAAGTGCCACTCAAATGGTGTGTGAAAATCCAAAGACAAACTTAAACACAAACAAGCTCAAAGAAATTACTAAAAGTTTAGTGAAGTTTTTCATGCTGCACTTCCCCAAGCGGTGGTGGAGAACCGGAAATACACGTGCACTTCCCATTGGTCGTTTCATTCACATTGTCGACGGCCAGCACTCATGTTTAATCAAAATTCTGCGACAAATTGAAGAAAGCACGCAATGTTACGCGAAAAAGGAAACGACAGTAGTAGGAACAATCTTAAAAGATAGATTTTTAATCGAAATGCGAGTGTCTTGGCAACTCGACTTGATTGCTCGCCATTTTATTGGTTTGTGTTATTGTGTCAGTGCAGCATATTAAATTGAGTTTAAGTGGACAACACTGAGTACTATATAAGTTATGACTCTTTAGATAAAGAAGTATAACGCATACGACCCGTGCCGCAGAAAAATTCCGCGGCTAGTCAAACAAATTTAAGATTAATCGTTGTTTGTTTTTCCTCACAAGAAATTGATTTACCCATTCTGCCTTTTTACATACCAAAACTTTCTGTTTGACATACTCGTATAGCAAAGTATGCATTTTCTTTATGAGCATTCACATTGTGTCTGGGTCTGCATAATCATAGGGGCAGTTTCATTGAAAACACTTTAAAGGCAAGTGCAATAAAAAGCATAAGTATGTTGAGTCGTTTTACTCAAAGCAGCACACATTAGGGTTCAGCGTACTCAACAATGTCATATTCTTTACTAGCTTACAGATAAATGTAGAAAATTTTTATTATAAGACTACATTAAATTTAACTTTAAGAGAGGCATTCGTTCTGGAAACCTTTGAAAAGGAAACAAGTTTCTGGTAGCAAATACATTTACAATAGAAAATTAATTAAATCATTCAAACATGTAACATCTCCTAAAAAATTTTAATTCTGATTTTTGGGTACCATAATAACAAATGATATATACTTGTATAACGGCATTGTACTATTTGTAATGTCTTTACTTAATTGAATAGAATTTTAAGCAAGAGAGAAGGTTACCAATAAAGTACCGACGCGGTTATGTTTTTTTCCAAATATTGGAAAAGATTTCGGTTTTTTTGTGACAAATAATTCGTTAGATTTTTACTTCAAACAACTTAACTATTTGTTTCGATTTTTCAATTTTCGATATGGTCTAATACTCACGTACTGTTTAAAGTATTAGTTTCGGGATACTATTAGTAACAGTAACAGTATAAAGTCAAGGTTATGGTCGTAAGGTTTTCGAATTTCAGGAGGCATCAAGAAGAATTTAATTAACTGCAACAAATCTTTTGAAAAGCTCATAGTTTTTATTGTTTTATGTACCATCTCTTGTAACTATTGCTCTTTAACATTGGTCTTTAAAATTTAATTTTATTATCAGACTAGTCAATACTCACAGTTGAGTCTCAAAGGCTGTTTTCTACACTTTCTAGTTACAGGTACTGATTTGTAAATTAAAATCTAATGCTGAATAGATTGTTACTGGCTTTGAGCAACCAGTTCATTTTTATTACTTAATTGCTTGCTGTATTTTGCTAATTAATGTAAAAATTTAATAAACGCTGTTTAATTATTAATTCAAAACAAATTTAAAAATGCCTAATATCTTGATAATATTGCCATTTAATGCGAAACGGATGTGTGCTTTATGAACAGCTTGACACAAAATGTCAATAAATAAATCACAAATAGTTTTGTCTATTTTATGACATGTCCATAAAGTGATACGTCTACCAGTTCGAAAGAAATCACATTCGTGTGTCAATAAACTGAACGATAGCAACTTTTTTGAAGAGACAAATTAAGTGGTCTCTTTGGTTGTTGTTTTGGGCAGATAAAGCCAAGTTGAATGCAGTACGTGGACATTCAATTGAAGAAGACTTGACCCTACTAAAGAAATTAGAGAAAAGCAGTTGGAGCAGAGTTGGTTAAACTGACGCTCGTATGTACGCCTCCCATACCAAAAATTTTAATGGAGCTGCACTTAAAAAGTTAACGGCCCGACTTTTTGTTGCACTCAGAGCTAATTTGATGTTTGCCCCACATACCAACCCCAACCCAATTGGTGTGTGCACTTGAATATGTTTTGTCATTTTTTTTACCTGTAGGAATTCATCAATTTGTATCTTTGGCGTGGACGACATGCGCAGGATTCGTGCCCATTTGTTGGGCAGATTCAGTGGCGCCATGGCCGTCAATTCGGCACCGCGGGCACAGCCACTAATCAAATAACGCAATGGACTGATGACCACCTCCCGGATTGGTGTATCTTTTGTTTCCACTTTGTCACACATCATCGCCAATGGCAACTACTATGTTGGCTCCTGTTTTTTGTTTATCAATTTTATGCATTAACACATATGCCAAATACTTGAATTTATTCTCTGCTTGTTATCTCGTTTATTTTGGTCATCACAAGTTCTTAGTTGGCTAGCATGGGACTGTTTTGGTCATTAATGTCCAAGCATTTGCAATGCAGCATTTGAGATCGATTTTGTTTGTTAAATTTTTGCACATATATGAGAGCTATTATTACTGATTTTGCATTTCAAAAAATTGTTTTCCGCAGATATCAATTAATTTTAATTTAATTTCATTTGTAAAATAGCCGAATATGGGCGTTTTGAATTTTGCTAAAAATATTTAAATATTTGTGTTAACTCAACACTCCACGCAAGGTTTCGCTTTAACTTTTCTCGTATTGTTCGCAGCAGAACTGCCGCAAGACTGAAATCTCGGACGAAGCATCCTTCGTTTTTATAGCAGCCACTTGCGTGCGTGCGTGCGTGCGTGCGTGCCTTGCGGCTAGGATTACCGATGCGCGTGGTGAGTTTCACTCAATTTGCTAGTCAATTTTCATTTTGTTTCAATTTCGCTCTTCTCGATAGATTTGTTTTTTTTTTTGTTTTTGTTTTTTCTTGTTTTTGCTGCTGCTGTGCGCAAATGTCAACAAAACTTGTTGCGTGCTGCGCTCATATTTTGATATATATGTACATACATATGTACATATTTATACGTACTTTAGTAGTTTTGCCTTCCATTATTGATGTTTTCTTCTGTTCCGTGTTCCGGCTAATTCTCTATTTAATTTTCATACAAATGCTAAGCGGCCAAATGGCCATTGAACTGCTTGATTTTGTTTGAACTGCATGCGTAGAAACTACTCGACCCCTGGCAAAGATGACACTCAATTCCATTTGCATTCATGCACTCATCAATTTAGCAAATTACTTACCAATTGACAGGCATATATAGAAGTAGAGAAACAAATGCTTACCCGCAATATCCTATATGGACTGTCACGCAACAGGCAAACCTGTTCAATGTCAGCCTCTGCTGGCAAAATGGCCTCCAACGGGGTCTCGGCATCCTCGCTGCCAATTTCTACTCGCTTGGGACCGGTACTGCGTTCGATTATCATCGAAAATATCCAATACTGCAATGACGTGCAAACAGGTTTTTAAGTAATAACGATTATATATTTTTTTTTAATTCATCTAAAACTAGCAATTAGGGAATTTTTTGTAATAATTTTTTTTTTAATTTCTTCCGAATTATAATCGAAACAGTAATGCTTATACTAGATTAAAGACTATAATTAACACTTTTTAAACTGAAATGGTTCCGTGTTCATCTGAACGGACAGAAAGACATGTTTATATTGATTATATTGAGTCTAAGACCTTCAATAGATATATCCATTAGCAAGCAATTAAGTTTTGAATACTTTTGTTTTGAATAAATCTACAAGTACATAAGAAGCAATACGTGCAACAACATTTGACAGAATTGGGAGGACCCCTTATTTGCTTAAGATTGTGGTAATTGTGTGTACTATATGTACAAGTCTTAAATCATCTACAAATATATAACGTATGTATTTTAAAGAGTTCTTAAGAGACGTTTACCTTGCTATTGCGATTGCTGCTGCCACTGCGACGTTTTAGGGAATTCGGCAACAACTTTGGTTGCTGGGCCTCCATCAGATCGGGCGGGGTGAGAGCGCTACACTCTGCATTATAGACACTGTTCCAGAACTTGGGCATGGTGTCGTTGATCCGGATTGTGTCACCGGTAGCTGCTGCTGCCGCTTTTGCTGCTACTGCTGCTGTTGTTGTTATGCTAAAGGGTCGCGAGTCGCGACTGTTATACATGATTGGGTTAGTATTTCACAATTGCTGCGAGCGTTTATCTATTTTCCTATGCACTAATCGCTGACTAATTGGTTATTGATTGGCCTAAGCGTTTAGTTGGCGTGAAATTGAGATAACACAATAGTCATGTGACAGATTGAGTCAACTGTACTCGAGTATACTCATTTGCTTGAGCACTCAAAAGTGCTTGCAGTTGGAGCTTTGAATTACAACTGGTCATTTGCCAAATACTGGCAACACATGAAGCGGACCCAGCCGCTTGCAGTGTCAGGATGTTAACGACCGTTTGTCATTTTTTATTTTCACCAGCTCCCACAGGACACTGACGGGTTTTTCGAAACCACATTAAATGACGATAGCTAATTAGCAGGCACTTTGTTGCTGTCAACAAACTGAGCGCATTGTGTCAGCTTAGCGATGGCTCTGGCGAGACACGCCTAGCATTTTGTCAATGCATTTGGGTCAGGATAGACAGGAACTCTGCTACTTACTCGTCCGCCTTTGCCAGCTTCATGTTGAAACGGGTTCTCAACCGCCGTGTCTCACAGCTCGACGGCAACTGTACGCAAATCAGCGACCCGAAAGTTGCCCAGCTTTGTGACTTTGGGTTTCGCGCTAATGAAATTACACATATTGGATCCTTATCTGCTACTTTCACGTCTGAATCTGTTCAAATGTCGCTTTATGAGGCCTCAATTCTCATTGCATACTTCGAGGCGTGCATTTTCCTAATGAATATTTGAGGGCTCCAACCATCTAACCATTTGCTTTGGCGGCCAATACAGTTTTTGTTTCGACCCGTGTATGCATAGATTATTGATGTGTGGAAGTCCAATTTGCGTAAGTATGTGTGCCCAACTGTTTATTCAATGGGTTGGGCATATGAACAATGAGTTGGCGAAATTTGAGTCAGAATATTGCATGAAAATATATTTTTGTGACCCTTTAAAAATTAAGCTCGACTTCTTTCATCATACATTAAAAGCTAACAATTGCTAATGCCAGTCAATTCAATGTATTTTCATGTTTGCTATTCAAGATGGTATTAATTGCAAGCAGCGTTCTGAGACTTGTTGGCTTTCTCTGACTAACAGTGCTTTTAGTTAAGGAGAGTAGATGACAGATATTTGTGTTATAAAAAGCAGCTAACTAGTTCAACACACCTAGAAATTAATTTTCATTTAAATAAAAATTATCTGAGAGGTAATTGTTCAAAGAGAGCTTAAGAAGTTTACTATTCTTTCCAATTATTGTTAAAAAGAAGATTCTTCTACACAGATAATTCTTTTTTATTTTGTGTAGTGAACATCAGTCTTGACAGTCAGGTAATGGCACTCTAGGTTCACACAGCATAGTATGGATTCAGAGTATGCACATGTTGCTGCATAATTGAATATAATTAAATATAATTGAATAAATAAAGATTTTATAATAAAAGGAGAAGACCATGGCCTAACAAAATTCACTCAAAATTTAATGTAAGACTTCAGCAATCGTCCACTGATGTCTATCAGCCAATTGAAGGGAAAAAATTAAAAATATATATATTTACCTTAATAAATGTGCAAAAAACTGTTTAGGAAAATTCCAGTTTTCAGCTTCTGTCCCACATATGTATTTAAATTTCCACAGCACAGTTGCACAATTTAACACTCAAGGTTTTGTTTACATTTTCGTTAAAATGCTGGAAACTCGAATGCGCTTTTGGTTTTAAGGAACCGCAGTTTTTAAATGAGTTTAAGCTAATTTTAAGAACGCCTTTTTCCACGCGCTGAAACGTATGCCATATGTTGTAGTTCTCTCGCGATCTCGTTGCAAAATGGCTGACGATGACAACGTCAATGACACGCACAATGGAAGCTCTACAACTACGCCGGAACGGGGAGCGGGGAGTCGGAGGTAGTGGGAGGCGAGGCAGAACTTCTATTAAACGCCAACCTTTTGATGACGTTGTCGCTCAATAAAACGCCACTCTTTGTGTTGCAACCTGATGGACGTAGCACGTTGGATAATACCTTAATTATAAAATAATAATTGCCACTCTTGACTTCTTTATGCACGCGTATTGTTTGTACATATGTATATGTAAAGTTTTTCGTTTGGCTTTGTATGTGAGTGCGATTCGTTTATTTGTGCGCACACCGACAGCTTTGCTAGTTGGACACCAACTGAATGCGAATGTGTCGACGGCCTTTGGGCAGAGGCAGTGCCAGTGCCAGCGCCAGTGCCTGTGGGACCAGTTGAGTTCGGTTATGTTTAGTTTCGAGATAACCGCCTGGATGCCTTTCGTCGCCTGCTCGACGCGTATTATTGTTATTGTAATTAAAACGTTTCGCTTCACACATACGCACTCAGCTCGTCTTTCTGAATGTGTATGGGCACATAAATGTACATATATACTGGCATATATTTATACATAAATGAGTATGCACACGTACATATGAGTGTATGAATGAAACGACCCAGTGTCATTCATATGGTGAAATTATATGGCGAAAGTCGAACGCAACACATACCATATACATGAAGAAGAAGAGTTAGTCGGACAATAAAGGATTGGGTTCACATACGCGCATATACAAACATCATTTTAGCAGTCCTGTCTTATCAGTAGCATTCAATTGCATTCGCTTGATTGGTTAATTACTTAAAAAGCTAAGTAGTTTTAGTGCCATTCGATATCAATTTATAAATAGAAACATTATTAGAATGGCCATTTTTATCTGGAAAAACTACTCGAGCTGAATCTACTTCATTAGCACACAAGACCATAGACATCTAAGTAAATCTGCTAAATAAAATATTTCATAATTTACTTTTGACTATGCAATGAGCGCTGGAAAATCTTTTGAAACATTATGGATGTATATCACCTCTATTTAAAGTATTTTTACTAAAGAATAACCACTTTGTCAGAATCCATTTCCACCTTTTAGTCTTCACCTCTCTAGCAGTGTTGGATGTCAAAATTTGCATTTATCGAATTGTATATTAAATTAATAGTCGCAGTACTTACTGCTCCCCCGTTGGCTGGGTTAGCGGATTCCTGATTGTCTCAAAGGGGAATACAAGAATACATTTGACTTTGCAAAAAGGGATTAACAGGCCCCAACATGGAGTTGTTTTTCTCCACATGCTTGCTATTGATGAAATAGACTTTCTCTCGTTTTGCTCCTTCAGTAATCTAATTATTTCTTAATTAGAATTCAATTGTTTTCTCTACACAATTTGTTGCTGGGTCTATAATGGCTCCGACTACATTTGACTGAGAATCGGGGCATAGCTGGCCATAAGGTAAATTAAATTCGGCGTTAATACATTTATTGTCTTATTTTTAAAGTGTTAATTATAATATATATATTTTATCGAACTAACTGATAAATTGGAAAGATGTTAACTTGAATGTGCTCCAAGCTATATACTACTATTTGTAAGCTGGCAGCTATGACTAAAAAATCTGATCAGTCGCTACAGTTGGAGTTTTTACAGAGCAAGGAGCTTCCAGAATACGTATAATGAACTAAAGGCACTGGCTTCGTGGTATTACCTTTCAACATTATAAGATGGCATAACAAACCCACTTTCAAGCTTTAAAGCCACGGCCAGTGACTGTAACTTTGGCATTTACTAGAAAAACGAGCAGATGGTAAGAGTATACCCTTTTTCATCCAATTGTTCCTTTTACTTTACTTCATAATGGGTCTAGTTTGTAATAAATTTAGCCTGGCCTGGGCAAGTGCACTTTCATACTTTAGACTTGGAAAGGTCAAGACAAAATCGGAGCAGTTTGTCAAGTAACGTTAATAAGAACAATTTGTAAATAAAAGGGGAGAACAACAATAGACTTTAGAAGCAAACCCCACTTCCCAGAAATGCGTAATTAAAGCGTTATAATAATGTTTTAATGGAAACACCATTGATTTTGCATGGAAAAATATTGAATACATTTATATATAATATTTCTAAAGTTAGAACAATAAGTATAAACAACAAACAAGAACTTACTCCAAAGGTATGCCCAACAGTTTTCCTGGCAAGTTGGAAACAAACAGAACTAGACCCAGCGTCACAATTACGAAAAGGAGAGCCAGAAACACATACTTTCGTATGGCTGGCCATAGGATATGGCAGAAAGATTTGAGTGGATGTGTCAGGGGATTGAAAGCGGTTTCAGCACGACTGTTAAATTGAGTAAATAATATAGTTGGGGATGTGACAAGAATATAATAAAAACCTACTGGGGGGCCTCTAGTGCCATGGGAGGTTCGCGGCCATAGCCAGCAGGCGCATCTGAAGCCTCCGTCTCTGTGCAAACGTCCACTTGCAGCTCGATCTTGCCCTGCACAAAAATCGGGAAACAATTCATATATACATATAGTATATCGAGAATAAACTCACGCTCATTGATGTGACCGGTAGATCGTGAGGCGGCTTTGGCGGGCTATGCAATGGGAACCAGCCTTTGATGTGTTTGCGTTTGAAGAGATTCAAACGCTTGCGTTTCTTGGCTTGAGGATCGCATTGCGCAGCCGTTGAATACGGCTTAATAATGTTGGATAGATTCAGCTCGATGGCACCCAGATAATCATTTTGTGTTATCACATCCTTATCCCAGACTTGCAAATAGATAATGGGCGGACGTTTTATTTCAAATTCCTCATTGAAGCCACTTTTTCGCCTAATAACCATCTGACCAATGGAAACCACAGCACACAACACCAACAATACGGCAGCAGAGCATAGAATATAATAGGATATGCAATTAGCGCGTAATGAGCTTAAATATTACTTTACAAATTCCAATTGGGGGCAAACGACCCCAAGCTAACTCACCATGTCCTCATTGGGCGAATACATCATGGCGAATATCATACGCCAATTAAATGATGCCTTGCCGGCAAATGCGCGGTAATGTATATCGGTGGATTGGTGCTTTTGCGTATCCTGGCACCAGCTGCAAGGCAAAAAATTAAAGGTCCGCATAATTGCATATCGCTTACCACCACCACCCTGTCATGCTCACCCCCGGACAAAGAGGTCGCTCATTAGTTTGCCAAATATATTTTTATCGCCAGCCTGTATGCCGCTCAGATTTTTGACCACAACACGCACCTCGTAGCTGGTGGGCGGTATGGGTGTGATGTCAATGGGCTTCGGATTATACATGTTGGCCTCGAACAGTTCCACCCACATCTGCAGCTTTCCCTGCAATTGTAGATTGCACAACACTTAGAAAATACTCAAAAATTATTCCTCTTGATAACAAAAAAATTATGTAAAATCTCATCAGCAAACTATATTGTGAACTTACTAATATGTTATCCAACTTAAAATAGTGATAATACTCCTATCAGGTGCACCTTACTGAGGCGATTTAATTAATTTCGTATAGAAAAACAAGTTTTTACGGCCCCGTTTCGTTTTTGAATTCCACACTGATAGACAGATGCACAAATCTATATCTATTCATCAAGTCAACACATTTTCATTAACAATCTTTATTTACTACGAAATAAATAAGAAGTTAGCTGCACAGGTGAATAAACCAAGAAACTACCTACTCAAGTAATTTTCGGGTCAAGAAAGAGCAAAGAAAATTATTCGAACACTCAGAGAAAAACGAAGAACTTAGGGTCTTACTAGAATTCAAATGGAGAAGTAAATAAGTAGAAATAATGAAAAAATTTTAAATTAGCTTACAAATGTAATCCTTATTAAATAAGGCTAGTATCAAGTGTGGCATGTTGAAGCTATTGTTAAGTCAGTTGCTCTTCTCATTGGTAGAATCATTAATCAATAGCAAACGAAGTCAACTTTATTGTTGGCTTTATCTATTTAGTATCTGATTTTATGGAGTATTCTACTACAAGTAGCTTTGATGAAACTTGATATCTACCTGTTCGAGTCCCGGATAATCATCTCGATAGAGGGAGCGTGTCTCCACATGCTCTGGAACCAGCTTGTAGCCGAAAGAAGGCAGCTTGTCCAAGTTCTTCAGAACTGTGAGGCTAAGGCGCTCTTGCAGGTCCTCGGCTGTGCGAACGACAAGTTAAGTTTCCATACAAATTAAGGGACCGTGTTATGCTCACATTTTGAAATTACAGTCTCGTCGGCAAACAGCATACCATCTACCTCGACGACATTCCCATAAAAATAAGGTTGCTGAACGCCACGCTGCAGGCACAAATCCATCAGGATTTCTGATGGCAGACGCACGTCGTGCCACATATTGTAGCCACCTCGGCTATATTCATGGGCAATCCCCACCGTGGCGCGATGCTTGCTGCGCCAACGATCCTCCAGATCAATAAGTGTGTGTCCAATAATATCATCGCGTAGCTTGTCATGATCGTAAACCAGCACCCGCAACATGTGGTCGCCAGGTAAGGTGGCCTCCAGTTCGAAAAAACGACCAAATATGGGATTGCTCTGATTGGGCACATAGTGGGCCGAGTCTGAGATGGTCTTGGCGCCCAGAAACAGCTTTACATAACAATCGGAGTGGCTGTTACTGTCGCGGGGCCGCATCTGCAAGCCCTGCACCACATAGATGCGCGCCGTGAACTTCACCACCTCGGACAGGGCTTGCACCTTGGACTGGTGACGCGGATTTATAGCCGCAGCCAGAGGACGCAGCATATCACCACCACCGATATCGTCGACGTTGTCGCATTTGCACGGCGTTAGCTTGATTTGCAATTTTAGAGTGGCATAGATGTCCTCCTTTGGTGGCGCGTTCTTTTTCTGCTTCACGCCATGCACCAATTGAACCGGAACTGCCCAATCCTGTAAATAGCCGAACTGGGCCTGTTTTTCCAACTCGTTCGCATATATTACCAATCGGTGCTTGTACGAATACGTTTTATCTTTTGCATCAGTATACATTGAATTGTAGAATTTAGTCCACCATGTGAATTGATTTTCGGCCAAAAGTTCGCTGGCCTCCAAATCCGCATTCTTCAGCACTTTCTGGTTGGCGTAGGTGCTTGTGCGAAGGCCGAGGGCATTTTTGATTCGCGTCCAGCAGCTGTCTACCCTGACTGGCGGCATAAGTTCCGTCTCAATATCCTCATCGTAGTCAATGGTAAGCATTGTTGATGCCACCGATGTCTCCATATTGTCATCAATCCACATACACTTTGTCGTCTCATCCTTTTGCAAGAAGCTCGTTGAGTTGGGGATCAGAGCAGCGCCCAGGGTTGATTCCCCATTGGATCCGGACAGCGTTACGTCGGTGGCTATCATGGCCGGCCAGTACTCTTGCTGATCGGGAAGACTCTGTAAACCATTTCAATAGCATTCAACAGAAGTCTAATATCTAAGCAGCTTACACACCACAACACCTGCGGCATAGGCCACTAAAAAGTTGATGCTATTCCGTACGCGGGATGTGGACAGTCCGCTACTAAGAACCAAGTCAGCCATCATTACTTTAATTCGTCGTTTTCCCGCAGAACTCATGCCGCTCTTCTTGTAGTTACGGAGACCCACAAAAATTACTTCCAGGCTGAAGAGCAAAAATGAAACAAGTTGAACCGATTGCCACCGATATATTCCCTATGTATTTGCACATATTAATGTATATATGTCGGGTTTTAAAGCCCAGTGCTTTAACTGGTTAGCTAATAAGAAAAAATTATGCTCCTTTGGCCGTTCTTGGGCAAACGAAAGATACTGAAGATTACAGAATCTATAAATCAAATCTATATTTTAAATCGTAAACAAGGGGTTCTGCCTCTATATTTATGATTAAATGCGGACATTTTTAATCTCTTAACCTGTTAGGTCGTACACCACTATACGTGAAACGTCTTTTGATATAAAAGCATTAGTTTCTAACTTCAAAACTTTGCACTGCAACTTAAGGGCTCCTTAATAGTTAAAAAAGGCTCCTATTTATAATGAAGGTCGTTCCCTAAATTATCGCTCAATACTCACACATAGTTTAGCATGTTGGGTCGTATGGCTAGCGGTATGCCTGTCGCCATAGCTGTCTCCTTGCCATCGCCATGCGCATCCACATCCCCTACTAGCTCTATAAACTCAGCTGACATAAGCACCTCTGCCTGCACCACGCCCATTTTGGAAACGGGTACCCATTTAAGTGGCGGTGGAGTGACATTTTTTAAACGCTGAAGTTTCTGCAGCGGATTCTTCACTCCTGACGCTATACCTGCATCATCCCAGCTGGTGTCTTCCATGCGATCGTTACTTATGACACTCACCACTGACTGGGCCTGGCCCAGCAGATCATCGTCGCTCATTTTGTCAGCATCATAGAGCTCTAGGGCCAATTGTGGTGGATTCTGTATATACCAATTGATACTTCCAGGTAACACCACACTTTTGAAAGTGATCACCGCATTCCAAATAGGCGAGAGGGTTGCCAACACCGCATAGGTTTCACTCACCTTATCACCGAAGATTACACGCAAGTAGCCATCGCACTGACCCTTCTTATCGACTCCAGGTCGTACCTTGGCCTGATGCACATAGACGTGACAACGAAAGTGGGTTTGGGTAACGTTTGGTTGCCAGGTCATGGGCTCCTGGGACATCCAATCTCCAGCAATGTAGGCCAGGAAGTCCTTACGCTCCCGCTCCACAACAATGGCCATGCAGCCGAGCACTACACCCACAGTGCATCCACAATTGGTACAGCTGTGTGCACAATTTACATTTTTGAATGTGAAGCTCTGAACGCGCCAGCATTTGTTGCTAGTCGGATGTTTCTGACGCTGCTTCAGGTCCAGAAAGTTCTTGGCATTCAGCTTGCACGTGCCCACATCCTTACCGCCTGCGGTTAGCACCAATATCAGATCTGGCCAATCATCCTGCACCCGCATCATATTGGCTAGCGAACTGATCTCACCAATCAATCGGTGCAGATCATTAACAATGTCAACTATGGTGGCGTCCATGTGATCCAAGGGACTTGATTTGAGTTTCTGACGCAGCAAGCGCAGCTCACGCGGCATTTTTGCAAAGTAGTCCAGCAAATAGAGCTGCCGATTGATATCCCAAGTCGTGAGTTGGGTGTCCACCTCATAGTCAAAGCGATGCGCATCGACGCCGTCTTTAACCTTGTTCAGTATATTAGTGATAATGGATTTTATGCACTTGGCCTGTTCAATATACTGATGTGAATACTTTAACTGAAAGATCTTAAATGTGTCCAGTTCGGACTTCTGCAAGTGGATAGTGTTATTATTGCTGGGTAGTCTGTTACCCCTTAAGTACAGAAAAAACCATACCATATATGTGGCTGTATCCGCCATAAAATAATCGCTCTCAAACTTGGCCCGATTATCGGGCATGCGCGCACGCAGCATACAGGAGTGATATGGGGCATCCTGGCGAAAATATTTCGTATCTAATTTGCTGAATTTGCCGGGTGGTATTCTCAACTGACCCTCAATAGTATTGGATGAGTGCTCTGCTAATTTTACTTGAATTTTATAATTGGAAGCATTGCTGTGTATATGATTGCCCAGCAGTGGTAAAAATTCCACTTGATATATGTCATCATGCCAATATCGAGACTCGTCCATGCCATGGGTGTTCTGTGCAATCAGCACATGTGTGGGTTTCTCGTCCTTCAACGTTTCGGCACGCACCTGCAACAGCAAACGACCGACATAGCTCAACGGGTTGACGGGATCGTAGAGATGCAAATAAGTTGGACCCAAAGAGGGTTTATCTGTAAAGATAATAGCCCACCAATAGAATGTCTTAATAACAACTAATGCATACCCTTAAATGCAATTTCTTCAAACGACAATTCATATTCAGCCATACACTTCCATTGAAGGTGCTCGTGCGCCAGAATTAGGATAAGAAAGCGTTGGGCCAACGAAGGATACATCCAGGCAAAGCTGATCTCATGGTTCCAGACCGGCGTGGTTGTGTTTTTAGCAACGGGTGTTTTGCCCTTGAAAGGATGGAATCTGTACTTTAGAAATGAAACGCAAGTCAATGCAATAAGGGGATACATTGAAACCAGCAAACGATACTTGAATCATGTAATTGCTCTTCTTCACGAAATAGCCCCGATAGAAGCTGATGAAGTAGCGTATGTTGCTTTGCATACACGAGTCCATATTCTGCAGTAGATTACTGTAAACTCATACTGGTACATCAGTCTATAGCATACAAGTATTTGACATATAGTAGGATACTACCTCTTGATATCATCGAAGTCCGGGTCGACCGCCCATTTGTTCATGTCGTTGGTATCCTGTTTCTCATCGGGCTTCAGAGCACTTGCCACCGCACTGTGCTGCGACACAATGGCCAAATCAATTTGCAGATAGCCATGGGACTCATTCGACTCCATATTGACCCCCTGCTCGCTTACGGGCGTTTCCAAACGACCCCATTTCTTAAAGTAACCATGATTCGGCTGATTCCACACACTGTGCAAATCGATCAGGAGATCGCCTATAACCAAATTCTTCTTACACAGCACATATTTCTTGAGTTCAAAGAGAATGGTGTGACGAAGCAGTTCGGCGAGTGTGCAATTAAACTCAAAGACAAAGTACTACGGATGAGACGCATTAGGTATACCCCGCGAACTTACTGCCAACGTACCTCATTGAAGAATGGATTTACGGAGTTGGGAAATGTTTTGGTGCTCTTGCTCATTTTATCCAAACTCACTTTCACATACAGCTCGCCATTGGGTACCCCGACCTCGGACGCCTTATGCACCGTGACACAGATGAGAAACGCCTGTTTTGTCCCCGCAAAACAATCATCTGAAGCATTCATTGTGTTTGAGTTTCATAATTTGTGTGTAAGGTATTTTGATTATAAACTACACACAATACAGTTTTGCTACTCAATTGGTAGAAGGATATTCCCCTCTTGGGAGTATTTGAATTCGGATCAGAATTACAACAAGTACAAAGATATGGCAAACATATTTAAAATTCGTGTCAATAGGCAGAGCATAGACTGTTAAAGTGTTATAATTTTTGTATAGTGATGAGTTTGGTTTAAGCTGTCCCAGTACTACATACAATGGCTTAAGCAGATTGCAACTAAAATAAAATGTTTTTATCAGGCCATATGGCAACGCTTGTGGTTGAATTTAACATTGTCACCACACTTAAAAGCACAACTTAAAAGCTCGGAAAAGCTGACACTAAAGCCACATATAATTCACCTTCACAGCCCGGCCGCTACATTAACATATTGTTGTTGTTGCTGCTGTGTGTGTCAAGTAACTTCACTTGACTGAAGCTTTCAGCTCGCCCAACCTGTTCTATTTGCGTGTGTATGCCTACATATGCGTGTATCTGTATGTGTATGTGTGTGTGAGTGTGTGCAGCTGCTGGGCAAGACCAGCCCGTCAACGGCAGCAGTAGCAGCAGCAGCAGCAGCCGCAGTTCGCTGTACTTGTATGCGTATGGCTTATGGCTTATGCTATTCAGCTCCAGCATTGGACGCTTCATTTTCAGTTCGTGTGCACGGGCCAAAGCAAACAGTCGCAGCTTGTGGCGTTCTCGCAGATAGGCGTTTTGTAAATTTCAGTGTTGGCTTTGGATTCTACTTGAATTGAAACGAGCGTTTTGTTGTGCGCGTCTCAATTGAAATTTGCAGTCAGCGTCGCTGTTGCCGTTGCCGTCATAGTCTTCGTTGCCTGGAATCGTTGAAGCGGGAGTTGGTTGCCACAGATAGTGGCCCAGTCTTGCCTGCCCCTAAGCCGCCTCGCCCAAGCTCGTGGTGCGTCTGAGTTTCTGTCCCTCTATGTCTCTATTGTGTGCGTTTGTGTGTGTGTGTATTAGTGTGATTCTGATTTTGTGTATAATTTTTTGCGCGCGCTCAATCAAAACAGAAACGGAGTTACACTTGTGGTTGTTGTAACCAGCCAGCACAACAGAAATATAAAAAATTTAATTACAATAATTAAAAGCTAGCAGCATAACAAATTCATTAGTCATAAAATAATACTTATAAAAACAAAAAAGTTTTGCAATTTGTGTAAACATTCTCCAAATAAACGATATACATATATATGTACATTTTCATTAAACATCTTTTTTGTTGTGGTTGCTGCTGGGTGGGAGTGTTAACACACATCTTAGCTGTCTACTCTTTTGTGCATGTCTAAAAATAAGCCATAACATCGTGTGTCGCGAAAAGAGAGAAAGAAATAAGTTTAATCAAGTTCAAAAATACAAATCGTTGCAGCTCCTCCACACATAACCAGCACAGGGCGATAAAAAATTAATAAGCGTATTACAAACCGTGCCAATATATAAAAGGTAAGTTTTACTTTTAGTTTTATGTGCGCATAAATCAAAGTGCAAGCGAGGCTGCCACTGTTCACCCAGGACAGCAATCTAACACCCCAAAAATAAATGCCAGAGCCTAACCCCAGTCCACAACACCCCACCCAATACCAACCCACTCGCCACCCCCTGCTGATGTTGAAACGCACGCTTTTTGCGTTGTTGCTACCCAGTCTCCAGTCCTCTGCTGATTGCTGATGCTGCGTGATATTCTCCCACTCTCCAGCTTCATCTTCGCCCACTCTCTTCTTCTTCCTGCCTTTTGTACCGTTACTCAGTTGTTGCTGCTGGCATCTGTGCTACTTTTCATTTGTCATTTACGCGAATTTCTTTATTTTTATCACATGTTCTACCTTATTTTTGCTCATTTCTCTTCCACTTTTTATTCATGCCCAAAATGCACAATACTCATATCCCCCCATCCCCCTCTCTATCCATCTCTCTCTCTCTCTCTCTCTCTCTCTCTCTCTCTCTCTCTCTCTTACATACACATAGAATTACACGCACATACATTTTTACGTTAAGGCAGTGAAAGGTTTGAAAATATTTCCGCAGATTCTGTTTCTTTTGTGCATTTTCTTGTTATTGTTCCATTCGCTTTTTGATCTTGAAAACGCCGCATACATACATACATACGTTCAAGCACACTTACATACATATGTACATACATACGCGTATACAATATGCATGCCCCCCCTTCTGCCTCCTTTTGCTGACAATGCAGCAACTTGCCAAACAAGTTGTCGGTCGAAAACAGGAAAAGCATTAAGTCTGATTTTGCAGAATTGTTTATTGAACAATTGCGCACAAATATTGCTGAATTGTTGCAATAGCCTACATAAGGCCAAGATTCTGATGATGGAGCCGGTGCCAGAGTAACAAGATTTAAGACGCAGACTGAGTCTAAGACTCAGACTTCAGTCTCACTTTTCGGTTGTTATTGTCAAATACTCGTATGTATGTACTCGTATGTAGGTAGATTTCTTTTTTATTTAGTTTAAAGATTGACTCATTGCGGAAATGTGATAAGAACCGTGAAAAGCTTCAGTTGTGGCACATACGATTTTTTCTGATTATTTGAAAAATTTGCTTGATTTTTTAGAAAAGAAAAACATTGAAAAAGTCTTTAAACGTGCCAATTAAAATCTGCTCGTGAAGGTTTTTTCTATTTTCAGAGAACTACCTACATATGATTAAGAATTTTCTTACTTTAGCTTAATCAGATTTCATATTAATCAAATTTCTTCAAGATCTAAAGTTGTTCGTAGTAAGCAATTTCTAATTAGACGATCTAATTCAGTTCAACATTTATTTATTTTATTTTGCAATTCATTGTTTCCATGAGATATGGGATATGAAAAGGGTTAAGAGTACTACATATTTTTCAAAGGTTAGAAAAATAGTGTGATCATCTCCGATTGTGACACAGGAATGTGATCTGCCTTGAAATGCAAATGGAGGTATTTCATTATTCAGTTGGTATATGGGTATCTCCTGCTTTATTTAGTTTATATGAGAAATCTTCAGAACCTTACATACATAAATACATCACTAGCCAGAAGGAAAGCGTATAAACAAGAATTAATTGATTGCCTTATATAGGAACTTTCTCGCATTGACACCACTCTGATAAAATGTGTTGCAATGTTTTGCAATTTTGTTGTTTCTCTAGAAAGATATTTTGAAATCAAGACTAGGTTCTTTTATTCTGAGTTCTGTATCTTTTTTAAAAAAATAACCCATACCACTTGCCTTATCTATACAACTTACTTGTACTTTATCTCTGAATGGAATCAGCATCTTTCCACGCACTGTAGATAGCAGTCTGAGTTTTCTTTAATTATTCGATGACAACATAATCTTATCAAGTTTTTCAGCATAATTATAAAAATCATTTAAAATTGATTTATTACTGCTATGCAACTTAAAACGCTAAGCTCAATGGACAGACATTGATTGATTTCTCAATGAAGAAATGCAAGTATTTGATATGCTTAATCGCTTTCGGGCTTATTTGTCGGGTATTAAACGCGCATTAAGCTTGAGTCTTTAAAAGGCACAGTATTGCTGAGCATTGCTAAACAAAATGCAAGCAATTATAAAATAACAAAAACCGTATAAGCTGCAATATAAAGTAAAGTTGCAACAAACTCAATACAGACATGCACCAACATGCATACTTCTATTTACAGTGCATAACTGCAAGTCAGAAACTGAATTACCAAACATCCGATAAAGTACGAGTATTGTACATTATATCGTGCAACAAAAAGTTATGGCTCATGTTGCAAAGAACTGCACAAGAACACACGAAGCATGAAGAGGGCGGCCGAAAAGTGCAACATAATTCAATTAAAGCAAAAAGTCGCAAGACACACACAGACACATACAATTTGTTTGGCCCAGCAGGACAGGAAGTTGAACATTTTGTGAGCCCACTGGGCACTTATGCAACATGCGGTGGCAAGCTCACATTGACGCTTTAAGTGCGCCAGCTAGCGTGATAAATTGCTCCAAAGGCCATCCAACGGTGAAGAAAATAGATAATTTATACTAAACATACTATATATATATAGACATCAAATATAACAAGCCCAGCAAGTCCAATGGCTCGAATTGTTTTGCAACTCAAACGAAAGAAAAACAAAACAAAATGCGCCGAATACTTTATACCTTTGTCAGCCAACAATAATCAATAATATTTATTATTAAAAATAAAAAGAAGAACTGTTTTAAAAGCTAAAAAGCTCTAACATATACAAGTATAGTACGTTCATTATGTAATTTACAAAAAATCATAAAGCAAAGTTTTAATGTGGCTTATGGGTATTATTTCCTTTAGCGCTTTTCTAAAAAATTAGATTAAAATATTTTATAAAATCCAACAATCCTATCCAAATTACAAGATTATTGTGTTGACAATTTTATTGATGATAAGAAAAATTGGTTTAATTTTAACTAAAATCTTAGTGTTTCAATGTTTCTGGTTTTAATAAAATAGATACATACATATATCGTTTTTAAGAAAGATTTGGGATGACTCAATGCATTTTCGATCCAGTTCTAAAATACTTCCATAACAAATTAGATGCCTATTTATTTACAACCAACTGAAGTAAAATAAATTCGTTTAATAGATGGTTTAATATTAGGGAGCAGTTTTCGAACTTCATATAAAAATGTTTCCTCTTATATCGAATAATTTTTTCATTGCTGAACTAAAGCGGACCCTCGTCCTGTTACAGTCCACAATTACTTAACGACCTATGGGGTGATATACACATAAGCTTTCTTTTATTTGTTACTAAAGTTAATCCGATTTCATAAGACCCTCGGTAAGGGCATACAAATATACAACAAATTAGACAAAAACAAATTATGATATGAAGGCAGTGAAATAAAACGGCCAAAACGTGAATTTTTGTTGGGCGCCAGTGACCCACAAAAATGATTTAAAGCGTAATTTGATGAATTTGTTTATGATAAAATGCTGCAATTTTATGGGTGCCTTTTAACAGCTGCCCAAGGCGTGCGTGTGTGCATTAATAAAATAAAAATAAAACTACGTCCACATAGTAGCATTGTCTCAAGGTAAACCGCTCACCCTCAACATCATCATCGTTGCAGATACGAGTATCTACGAGTATACGAATAAATATGTATCTGGCCGTGTTACGTGTCTTGGACAGTTGCGCATGCGCCCTGTCTGCATATCTTATGGTAATTCAAACTTGGGCATGTTGTCACTGGTAGTAGAGCCGCCAGACTTTCTCACTGGCCAGGGGGCCTTTCACATCACCTTTGTATCTTGTACGGGTATGGTAGAGAGTGCATTGATCTGCGCTGTCCAGCCGTGCAATTTCTCACAGAATTCTTAAGTTTCATTGTGCGCATTTATCGCTCAAATTACAACCGACAACGACGATGGCGATGATGATGATGATGATGGCGACTTTCCTTCAAGTTCACTGCACGCACAACCGGCGACTTAATTAAAATCAAGCCGACAATTTTTATTAATTAACAGTCTCGCATGCGCAGTGAAGTCATTTCCAACTTTCGCATACGAGTAGGGGCTTAGCATTCTCACGCCTCAAATGTTGCCCCAGGCCTAAAGGCCCTATATACTCATTCACTGATCTAAGGCCAATGTGGTGTTAGCGTTTAGCGTTACCAATCGGTTCACTGTTATTGCTTGCCCCTTTTGAGAGCGCTGACTGACTTCTGTTGGCCATGTTAGTAAGTCTTTTTTTGTTTTCAATGCAATTCACAATCTCTACAACTATCAACGGAAGCTAACAGCATATTGATGTTGTTGTTGTTGTTGCTGCTGCTGCTGCAATTGTCCAGCAATTGGCAGTCCAGCAAACGTCATTGCGCTCTGTGTCCGGCCCTGTCCATCCACATTGCTCTTAATCGCCAACTTGAACATGCGGCTTTTCAACTGCTGCTGCAAATCGATTGGATTCGATTACTTTGCCTTTGCATCGCTGAGGGGACAATGCTAAGTCCCTAGTTGGCCATTTTGTAAATGTATCAGTTTTCAATATAATGCTATTGATTTAACTTCATTATAAATTTAAGACTCTTGCATTGCAGGAAATTGTTAGGCCGAAGTGTTGCCTCTGGGCCATGAAAACGAAACTTATTGCGCAACAACTACGTTAGATGCGAAGTGCTTAAGTATCTCTGGATTATTTAACATGTGGATATGTAGATGTTTAAATAAATTTAAAAGTCACGACAAATAGACACACATTTCAATTGCTAATTTATACACACAGCTAAGTATTATATGATTAGGTATATAAGCAATTAGCATTGTACTTGTAACAACGTTGAATGGGAAAACTTTATTAAAATGTTTCTTTTTTCAATTAATTTATCAAAACACTAAAATATCACAAATAAGTTTGTAATAAAAGGCATATAAAATGTAAATCATTTTTTATTCGCCTCGGTACAAAACATTT